GGGTTTTTTTGGTTTGGTTTTGTTTCGTACCAGGTATTTCTGAGGAGTGATCTGTGTAAGGTCCAAGCACCATGCCTAAGATACAGTCAATTTAAGAGTAATCTTGGGCAATCTGCAGAAATTGAATGATTCACAGTGGGTCATGTACAGTCCTAAGGGGCGTTGGGATGCTGTAATGTCTGCATCTCTACAGAAAACCCAAATAAGAAGCGAGGATGTTCATTCCATGTTATTTCATTAAGATCACAGTGTCTGGTTTGAAAACCTGTCCCAAAAAGTAAAACAAGCAACAACTTAATTCACTGAAAGCTGTAGAATCGGGAATCAACTCTATTACGAAAGAACACAGAGCAAGTACTCTTGATTCAGTGCTGGAGGTTAAGAATGATCCACTTGCAGCAGATTCTATTAAAGCTCTACAAAAATCAGGTGTTTTTTTTTTCCTCCTCTCCCTTTCCTCTGTTTTTGCAGCTGGTCCCGTTGACTGCATACCTCACTGTTCCAGTTCTGAAGCTCTCCTGCCACACGGTTCATTTCAAGAGCTGCTTTGTTGGACATACCAAGATTGAACATGTCTTCCTGTGTAACAGGAGTGGCTGTAGAAGTTACTGGACTGCTTTGCTGGGTATTCTGCATTTGCAATTGAATTTCCTTGTTATATAGTTTTACTATTCAGTGGTTTTATTTAGTAAGAGCGCCTGCATTCACTCAACAGATAGCCAATATATGAGGATGTTGGCTGCAAACGTATCAATCAGGTCTGCTTCTGTTGTCATGTTCTCACTTACGAGGGCTTTTTCTTTTTTTAACATCAGTGTATCTCTATTGGTTTCAGCAGTTACTCCAGATTTAACCAAAGACTGGATCACAACCCCTACAAATAATAGGCATGCTTTGCTCATTCATAATGCAATCCTAAGAGACAACAAGAAGCAGCAGCTCCTCATGAGTTTGGTTTGAGCTTCTGCCTAATGATGTTAAAAACAGATGGGCTTCGAAGGAAAGAGGATCAGGGCTTTATTATTTTGACATGGAGGCCACTTGATTAGGGGATTAAAACAGACATGGCCACATGCAGGACATGATTTATTAGTTGGCTAGTGCAGAGGCTCATTGGTTTGAGCACAATATGCTGTACAAGCTTACATGAAGGGACTTGTATTGCTTTGTTTGATATTTGCCCCTTTCATTGCAGATGAACAGGAAAGGCATAACAACGCAAAGGTGTTTTCTGTCTTCCCTACTAATGGCATTTTGGAGGCACGTGAAGGGGACCCACCTACCAAAGCAATTTTGCAGATCAGCTTTACTGCAAGGTACAGTTAACAGGACTGAGATCTTGCTGCTATTCCCTGTCAAGCCCCAGTTTATGGTGTGAGCGGTCACTGAAAGAAAAGAGCAAGTCTGCTCTTTTCTTGTGTTACCAGGCTGCTCATTTTGCTTCTAACACATCCCAATCCTGGGCTCCCAGCTGATGCTTTTTCCACATAACCATGTTTTCTATGCTGCTCCTATATATGGGATTTTTTTGTATTTGACACCCAGAATTTCAGCTTTGGATTAATCCACTTGAAATCCTGCTATTCCAACAGTTGGCATGACACAATGACTCCATACCACTGGATAAAACCTCTTTCTTTAGGGGAACATCTTCAGCAGTAGGTAGATCTCAAGGCTGTCTAAGTCAGTGCAGAGGCTGATACAACAACTGAGTCCTTTATGCATCCAGCACTTTATTAATTAGAACACAGGGCAAAATGTATCCAGAGTAGTTCAGAATTCCACTAGAGCATCTGTTTATCCTGCAGGAAAGTGGAGTGTCTTTTGCAGTCAGTCTCAGGGGTCCTTCACTGCAGTTTATGTGGCTCCTCTCTGAAAGAAATTATTTGAATTCCTGTACTTCCCTACGTGCATTAAGAGTAGCTCCTGATGAAACAAATAGAGCAAAATGTTGTTCTAATGCAGTGATACCATGTGTTTTGCATAGCCTGGTGCAATGGTTAGTGTTACAGTCAAGGTGTTTAAGAAAGGCACCAAGGTATTTCTGTCTAGTGCAAAGGTTTTCCACATAGTAAAGATAACGTGAGCTGCAGGCAAATGACAGTAAAGAACAGAAGCGAGCAGATGAAAATTACTTTGTCCTATAAACATCTTGACCTTTGTCAAGGCTAGGACCTAGATGTGCCATGGCAGAGGTAGGCAACACTGAGAGGTGTGGTGTGGTGACACGCCAGGGGAAGTGACGCCATCCAGAGGGACCTGGACAGGCTGGAGAGGTGGGACAGTGCGAACCACATGAAATTCAAGAGGGCCAAGTGCAAGGTCCTGTATGTGGGCCCGGGGAATCCAAACACAAATACAGGCTGGGGGAGACAGGACTGAGAGCAGCCCTGAGGAGGACTCAGGGGTGTCAAGTGTTGAGAAACTGAATTTTTTTTCCTGATGGGAAAAAAATTCTTCCCTGTGAGGGTGGTGAGGCCCTGGCACAGGTTGCCCAGAGAAGCTGTGGCTGTCCCATCCCTGGCAGTGTTCAAGGCCAGACTAGACGTGGCTTTGAGCAACCTGGTCTAGTGGAAGGTGTCCCTGCCTATGGCAAGGGGGTGGAACTAGATGAGCTTTAAAGTCCCTTCCAACCCAAACCGTTCTGTGATTCCATGATGACCCAAAGCCTTTAATCTCTTCGCTCTAATTAAAGAGATGCAACTCCTGTATAATATTCAGCTTATGTTCTTGGAAGTTACAGCATGCTGACATAAACCTTAAGAAAGACAAAGTCTATCCCAGTGATTTTAAGGTGACATGAGCTACTGATGTAACTTCAATCTTCCTAGAATACCCTGTGAGATCTCCATCACTGGAGTTACTGGAATCTCACTGGGACAAAGCCTTGAGCAGCTTCTCTAAGCTGTCCTGGCTCTGCAGCTTCATAGATCAAAGACCTCCCCAGGCTTTGACTGCCAAAGTTTTTCTGTAGTGTTTCTAAATGTGCCAGAAGCACTTCTTTTTGTCTGACAATCAGCGTGTCTGGAACCAAAGCTGCTGCTGTACACCAGCCAGCTTGTCTGTTAAGCTCCAGACTACATATCCCCCAGCACTTGGGACCAGTGTGGCATTAGCAAATAACTATATGCAAGGTGTGAGGTAATTTTAATAACTCGCCTCCCTAAATCAGTGGTCTTCCTGCAGGGGAATCTTTTGTGAGGAGGAGAAAATAAAAGTTGTATGGCAAGCACAGGCTCTTGCCTCAGGCCTGTTACAAGAGCCACCTCTCGGATGCAGAGAAATCCTTCAGATGAGCAGTCTCTGGAGCACTGCACAGCATTAGCCTTAGGCCAGTTGCACTGTAAGACTTCCACCTGGCACAAAACTACAGTTGCTGTAAGCTGCTTGATGTTCAGTTACAACCTGGACTCCACTGACTGCCCGTTGTCTTAAGCAAGTTGACAAAAACTTTTTTTGTTTCAAATGCTGTCACAAGCTCAGTTTTCACATCAGGGCAGTGCAGGTGTTGGTTTGTTGCCAAACAGAAGCCCTCAGCAGAACTTCAGTTTGTTTAACTAAAATTGAATTTTTTCAGTAGGAAGATATTAACTTCATATTGTAAAGAAAAACTTGAATAACTCAACATCTTCAGGTACTGGCTGCATCATCCTTCTCAAACGTCCTCTATATAGCTATGGGCCATAACACTCTAAAGTGGTCCTACTACCCCCAGACTCAACACCAGCATGAGAGATTGGTGCTTGTGATCACCGGTGCTTAGAGCACCGTTCTGCCCCTTTTCCTCCACAGAGTAACTAATCTCAAACAGAGAATTGCATCCTCCTGTAACTGAACTGTCCCTTTTGCACTACATTTCAGGAGCGACATTCAATACAAAGCAGTCATGACTGTCACTGGAATACTGGGGGAGAAGCCCTGCAAGCTACAGATCAAGGGGCAAGGAACCTACGATGGAAGGTATGAAGACCTGTATTAAATAGTCAAGACACCGTGGGACAAATGTCAAGGTAACAGGCTGGATGCAGATGTGCCATCCATTGAGCCTGTATTGTCAGTTGTTTTATTATGGACTAGAATTTTAGCAGAATGGAATTTTAAGTTGGGGGAAGGTGGGAGGAAGGTCATGGTACTTTAAATAGAAGAGTCATAATCTCATTCTATTACTTTTACCACTGTGGTAAGCTTAAGCACTACCTGAGGCTCTGCAAAGTAATTGGTTTGAAATAGAGAAGCGGCCATGGTAAGAGTTAGACCAAACCCCTCTGTATGTCTCCAATTACAATTAAAGATTGTTTGTACCTTATAAAGTAGCTTTTGTTTTGCCTTGGTTATTTGTTTGACATTAAAAAGATATTGACACATCATAAAAGCAAGAACAAGTGAATAGGCCAGCATTCCCCAGGCTGTTTCCCTTACATGAAAAGGGGAAGAGACAACTTTCCCTGGACTTCTTGGAAGATGACCAACCCGTGTGTTTCATCATGCTTGGGCATTGAGAACATCCCTTTCGGCTACGGAGGGCGGAACCCTTCTGCCCTTGAATGCCTTCCCCCGACATGGTTCCCATTTACTCACACTTCTCTAAATGTTTTTAGTATTACTTTAGCTAAAGGTCACTGAAATTCCCACTTCTGAGCCTGTTAAGTTTTCCCCTCCCATCATATAAAAGGTTTTTGTTACTAGCAGTGTGTGCGGGGAAGAGGGGGCTGCCCTCCCCACCTGAGGAGAACAGAAGATGCATGATTGTTGCCTTTTGCCCAGTTTAAACCAAATTTGTACTAGCAAGAACTCATTCTATACAGAGTGCAAAAAAAGACCCCTGAGGAACTCTAATGCCTCTCTGCAACCACCAAATAATTTCATCTTCTTGCTCTAAAATACAGCCTGAGTGATTGCTGGGGAGTGGGACAGGCTGCAGCACTGGAACAGGAGCCTATCACACAGCTCTAACTAATCATGGCTTCCAACTAAGAACCACCAGAAAAAGAAAATAAATATATCGCAAGAACCCAATTGTATTATTAAGAGCAAAACCAAGAGCCAGGAAAAAGAACTTCGGTCTGTGTTACAAATCTGAGCTTTTTAACGTGTCAAAGTGGATGAGGACATTTCATATTCAAGCTGTTAGTGAGCTTCAGTGATTGTAAGAGAGAGAACAGATAAGGGAGAACTTAACTTTACCAGATGAAATATATATTTGTATTAGCGCTGAGATGTCACCGATGTTTGTACAGTGCTTGCAGTAAGAGTAATGCTGAAATCTGTTTTATGTTAGGTAAGTAAGTATTAATCATAAGACTCTCCTTTAACTTAAGAGTCAGATGAGCTGTGGAAAAAGATGGGGAAAAAATGGTGGCAAGGCCACTTTCAAGTCCTGGCTTGTCGAAATTCAACAGCACTTTTCTGTTCAGGCACCTCCTGTGTGAATTACATTCTAGTCCTTCTACTTTACTCCCCTGGAGGCTTCAGAGCAGCCTGGTTAGAAGCAGAAAGCTATAGCCCAGTCTCCAGCATAGGGACACCTTAGGGCAGAGCCAGTTTATGACTTGGATGGGACAGATGCAGTTGTAAAGGAAACAATGTAAAGTCTTTGCACTTCTTTCAAACAAGCTGCTCCAGGCTTCTTGTGAGATGGTGACATCTTTTAAAGACAACCCTGGAAAAGCCTCTTCACATGCACTGATCATTTTGTTTTGAGTGACTCTTTTAGACAATTTGTCATACAAAAATACTGTACCATGAACTACTACTCTCTGACAGCAGTCACAGAATAAAGGGATTGATTAAATTAGAAATATCCATTTGTAATCACCACATGAGGGCCTGTGCCTGGACCTCAGCTGAACCCATTTATGCTGTCAGGCTGCCATTTGCCAGTTCTACATTTTCCTGCCAGCTCAGTAGGTCTCTATGGATTATTCTACTTCATAGTTTGTGCCTAAAATTTGTAGATCTGGTAATGAATCCCAGAGTCCACTTGATTTCACAGTGCAAATCATTTGCTATTACTAGTGAAGGCAGAGAATTAGCTGTTGCGTTGTTTCGGCAGTAGGCTGGAGGTTAGTTCCCTGGGTACTCAAACACTGCTGCAGCGCCCATGCCAGTTCCGATGCACATTGACACCACGCCGTATGCTCTGAAAGGGAAGAACACATGGGATTAAGAAAAAGACAGATTAGTTTAAATCAGCTGGGGAGGGAGAGAATCCTACAATCCAGATTCACAGAATGGTTTGGGTTCGAAAGGGCAGCAAGACATTACACAGCCCTCCCTTAGGAAGGCCATCAGAAATTCATGTTCAAAACCTATCAGAGAGATGGAGAAAGCTTAACCCACAATGACTGTTGCTAAACTACTTACACCCATGTAGGGCATTAAGGTTAATACTGTTTCTCAGTGCTCACCTCTTCCCTCTGCGCTTCAATTCATTGAGTAAGGTGACAACTTGACGAGCACCCGTACAGCCCAGTGGATGCCCCAGAGCTATGGCTCCTCCCAGGGGATTGACTTTCTCCATTGGAATGCCCAGCTTTTCAACGCAGTAAACAGCCTAGAAAGACGGAGGGAATGGTTTCATGGAGATGCTCTCACCTTCATTAGGTCTCAGCTCTCCCGCAACAGACAGCTAAGAGGACTGCAGAGAAGACTGGTGATCTCACGCCTACATAAGGAGGGACAGCAGACAGTCCTAGGAGCTTGAGGGGCTTCAGAAGATGCATGCTTAAAATGAACTTACTCAAATTATGTATTATTACACAAACGCCACATCATTGTGTCAGCTGCTCTGAAAGTATTAAACAGCACTGACAGGCCTGACTCCAGCTAGATCATCCTTCCCAACGGCAAGGAGTGGAACTAATTACAAATCCCAAGCACAGGGAAGTGAGCTAAGCCCATCCACTCCACCTCAAACTGGAGCCCACATACTTTCTGACAGGTACATCACAAATCTGTGGAAGATACAGTGTTGAAGTTTCTGCCTTTCATCAAGGACCTCCAACAGTCCTGTGCATGTTATTAACATTTGTCTATGTAATATGTAGAACAAGTTAAGATTTAACCTGGATACTAAGCTGAAATATACTCAGCTGCCATGCAATGCTGCAACTTAAAACAGGATGATCACTCACCTGGCTTGCAAAGGCTTCATTAATTTCATATATATCAATGTCAGCCAGAGTCAGACCTATGGTTTAAAAAGCCAGGATTTAAAAGCAGGTATTTTTGCCCTATGATTCACTCACAGCCTCCCTTTATGAGTTCTAGTCCTACTTCATTAATGACAAAAACAGGGGCATTGGCTCCATGTGGGGTATCTACACTTGCACACGTTTACGTGCAACATCTAAAGACTGCAAACTGCAACACTTCATGGTAGGTTGTCACTGAGTTTGCCAAATTTCCTTAGATTAAGTGGGATCTGTTTGCAGATGGATTAAAGCTTGAAGAGTATTTTGAGACCAAAAACTATCAGTGAACAGATGATCACAGCAATGACAGCTGAACACAACAATAATCACAAGCTATAAAAGCTATTTAATCTAATGAGTATGCCAAGAACCCTGAGGAAAACTTCTTAGCACTGGTCAGATGCCAAAATTATAAAAAAAAAAACCCGAACCAAACACAATCCCCCCCCCCCCCCCAGTCATATTAAGGAAAACAGCACTAAACAAACACTAAATCATGTGCCACATGTTAACTGTTGTTGAGACTGTGCAGGGATTTAATCCTGAGCTTCTCAAAGTTGAGCAGATGACAATTTAGACATGGTACAAGCAGAAAGTACTACAACCTGAGGCAAGATCTCTTTTAAGGTTTTGACTCTTAAGTTCATTGTTCCTATGGCTGACTGCTGCACAGGCAGCATATAAATTTCAGCCTGCAGAGTCTGATTTGCCTTGTGCCAAACACTGGGTGAACGACAAGTGGTTCTTACCTGCCTTTTCCACAGCAACAGGGATTGCGTATGCCGGCCCTATGCCCATCACATCGGGTGGGACCCCAACCACAGCAAAGGACCTGAGCACTCCCAAGACTGGGAGTCCCAGCTGTGCTGCTTTCGAGCGCTTTGCCAGGAGAACAGCAGCTGCTCCATCACTGACCTGGCTGGCGTTACCTGTTGGAAGGGATTTCTTTTGTCTAAGCACATTCTATTACAAGGCAGGTAAACCACAGGAACACCAACTTAACAAGAGAGCTGACCTGCTGTAGTGCTACCATCCTCTTTGAAGGCAGGCTTCAGTTTCGCCAAGCCCTCCAGAGTTGTGGAGGGCCTAATCCCTTCATCTTGGTGCACGGTGATTGGTTTTTGGTTGCCCTGATTATCTAGAATGGTGGTCTTCACTGGAACAATCTCAGTTTTAAACAGTCCCATCTGCTGAGCTTTTGCTGCTCTGTTAAAGAAGATTAGGAAAGATTAAAATATTCTGGAGGTGAACTGAAAGAGAACTAATGTCAAGGAAACCAGTTAATAAGAGAATTAACTAAGGTGTGACTTAGTACACAGGTACAACATTGCCAAGTAGTGGACAAGACAACAGGCCAATATTTGGCTCCATTCTTGGGAAGACAAACTTTATACCTCTTCATCATATAAAATGTATCACTAATTTATGGGCGTTCTCCCCAACCCATTCTGTTCCCATCGATGCCGCTGTGACTGACTCCTACAGCTCACAGCATGAAGCTGTACTTGTCCAGTGGTACAGTCACAGCACAACTGTTCAAACACCAATTCTTATTTCTGAGAGTTTAAACTGGGCATGTGGGCTAAGCCTCCACATAATGCTAATAACTTCCAATAAGCTAGGGAATGGCTGAAGCTTCACTCATTCCTGGATTTGTCCTGTTAAAGACAAGTTGAGCTCTAAACCACAGACCAGGTATAATCTTCTGGCATCTAAATGCAACCTTTCAGCCCAAAACAGTTGCAGTGTTTATTGCATAGTTCAGTGTGACTATGCAGAAGGGTATTGCTTAATTTAAGCGGTAAAGGTGTGTCGAAGACAGGGTCTGGTCCCCAAGACAGCTGAATTAGCAGGAGGGAACAACTGACACAAACAGACTGGTAAAAGTGAGCAGAACAGAATTAGTTAAATTAGATCAGAGCACAGTTTTAATCTTTCGCATCAACAAGGTATTTTAAAAGCCTCCAGAGTTTAGGTTTACCTTCTAGCAGCAGAGCACCCTTTACAGGGAATACAAATTGGAGACGAAAGCTTGTTTTACGCCCTCATCACTTTAACTCATCATAGAATCACAGAACAGTTTGGGTTGGAATGACCCTCAAAGCTCATCCAGTTCCAACCCCCTGCCACAGGCAGGGACACCTTCCAGTAGACCAAGTTGTTCCAAGCCCCATCCAACCTGGCCTCGAACACTGACAGAGATGGGGCAGCCACAGCTTCTCTGGGCAACCTGTGCCAGGGCCTCACCACCCTCACAGGGAAGAACTTCTGCCTAAGATGTCATCTAAATCTCCCCCCTGTCAGTTTAAAGCCATTCCTGCTGGTCCTGTCACTACAGGCCCTTTTAAAGCCCCCTTCCAGGTTTCTTGTCAGCCCCTTCAGGCACTGGAAGCTACTCCAAGGTCTCCAAGAAGCGTTCTTTTCTCCAGGCTCAAGAAGCCCAGCTCTCTCAGCCTCTCATAATAAAATGAAAATATTTAATACTCCCAGGTAAGTGAGACTTGGAACAAAGAGCTGAAGGACAGATCAGTAACTCCACAGACATCCTGAGGCCAGAAAATCACCCCCTTCCTTATGTGAGAGGTGAGGATCACTTTCACATACCCTTTTGTGTTATCAGTTCAGTGTCAGTGAGAAAGGCTGGCATGCCAAGTTCCCTGAGAAGCAGGGCCAGAATTTAAAGGTTAACTGGCCTGTGCAGTGGCTTCCTTTTTAGATAAATAATTGGACCGGGGTGATGCTTAAACAGAGCTCTGAAAGTTATTTAACTCTTTGATGGCCATGACTTTAACATGTCACCTGCTGCTGTTAGAATGTCAAAATGGCCCGTGTGTTCCAGGCACCAGCTGACTTCAGCAGTGATCTGACGTAAGAGGAAGGTTATGAGAGGTAGGACTGGGCTCACTTAGAGCCAAACACCTGCAGTGAACACACACCACTCTTCTGATGAGCTCAGCCATTCTCTAGATGCAGCTACAGTTAAATATTCCCTCTTAGGAAAGGTTCCTTCTGCTTCTACTCCTAAATTCAGTTTCAAACAATACTGAGCGAAAGCCACTATAAAAATACTGCACAACATATTTGTTTTAGAAACCTCACGGAGGTTGTATTCTTTGGATGCTGAAAAAACACAGGGGCACTCACTGCTCAGGACTCAATGCCTGGTGGTACATGCACAAGATTAGTCTCACAGTCCCCAGTAAAGCTCTGGACTTCGGTTTCCTCACCACACAACCCGGGACATGCACCGATCTTCACTCTGACCATCTCAAGCTTCTTTACTCATGATTAAGATTTGGAAGGCAACATGAAGGCTGTACTTAACCACGCTTAGGAAGTAGCAGTGTTATTTTCTACCTGTATTTATTCCTTAACTAAAAGGTTGAAAAAAAAACAAAGAACCCAAACGTTTACTTTTGTTGGGAAGCCAAGGCAAAGGCATCTTGCTTCTTTCGGGAAACTCCAAACTTCTCTGCCACATTTTCTGAGGTTATTCTGGGAAAACAACAACAAAGAATTAATCCAATGAGACACTAATGCAGTTGGCTTCTCCTAAAACAACACAAAGTACAAGCACTGGCTTTAGTCTCGAAGCTAACTGCTGCCTTCTCAACCAAGAATTGCTTGGCAGAAGCAAATCCCGAATCAACTCTAGGACAAAAACATGGCTCAAATCCATTTTCCTTGCTCATTAAGCCATTGAGCTTAAGACATAAGACAAGGAAATCTTTCATCAGAGTTGCTGATCTTCCCCCATTTCACGTAATTCATCTTCTACCACAACCAAGGCAGATGCCGACACATACAGATCCAAGCTGACCACATTCATATTGATCTGGAACAGTACAGTCACTGAGGAGACAGACCATCTGGAAACCCCCTAAACCTTGGGAAGAGGAACCACTTACCCCATAGGAATCAAGCAATCCCTTGCTTTGCTGTTTTCCATCAAGCTGGAACTGATATCACCAGGATTATTTGCACTTCTGAGGGACATGGTTTCCACACTAAACACAGGAAAGATATGAATTTGCAAACAGTGCTTCACAGTACACACGCGGTTCTTGTGCCACTAAGACTGACCGAAACTCAGTATCTTTACAACTTGCATTCCTACTACCCCACAGAAACATCACTAATAAAAAAGAAACGGACAAGGCAGAAGCTCTTCAGTCATCAATATCAGAATTACTATGAAATGAAAACAGATTGCTACATTAAATTGGTCCTTATTTCACTGGAACAGAATAACAACGTCAGTCATTAATAACAGTTAATTTCTCGTGTTTCCGCAGCTAGGAAGGAATTGCTAAAGATTCCAGCACTTCTGACCTCAAACACAGCAAGAAACCTAAGTTTCTAGGAGAGGAGTTTGCAGTGAGATTGTCATCAGCCATAAAAAACGCAACTTACACATAAAGCACGGGTTGGAAGTAAAATAAGGAAAGTATTAAGCAAACCTACAGAGACACTTCAGTAAGTTACACCATTTATATTTCACAACAGAGAGAATTTAAGACATTGATCCCAGAGGCTGCAGCCTTTGACCTACAAATGAATTAACAGCTTGAAGATATCCAAGTTTATTGCAGGAACACACTTAAGCCATCACTTAAGACCAGTGAACATTCGAAAAGTCAGTCTAGACCACAAAGTCTACAATGGGAAGAGGGTTTGAAGAGGGTTCTACTCTGCACTCCACAGAGACACTATGAAGAATAAACAAGGGAACTATTCCTGTAAAATGCAAGAGAAGCAGAAAACAAGGGCCTTCCCCAAGCAGCTTATCAGGAATTTAAACTCTAACATGGGACAGTGCATTACTTGGCTTCAGCTGGATCTACTCCCCAAAGGAAGGTACAGAATCAGGTTTAAAGTAAGAGTAAACCACAGCTTCTGTGTTTTGTGTTGTCATCCAGTATCTTTCCACCTACAGAGTGGCTGAGTCCACTCGGGAAGAGCATGACTTGGGATAAACCCAACTCACAAAAGCTATTTCTAGCTTAAGAGATTTTGTTTTACTGTTTATTCATTCTTCTGAAGTGAATATGCGTGTAGTCACTAGCATTTCTCCAAAGCCAACCCAGCATTTATATAACCCTCTACGAAATAAACACTTCTTATGATGTTGGGACTGAAGCAAAGAACAGTATGCCTGTCCACTGCAGAACAACATCTCCTGTAGGCCTGTAGAACAGTTATTAGCATGGGTAGACCATTTACTTCCTTATCTAAGATAGCTGCTGGTCTTCTAAGACACTAGTTAATCTGAGATCAGTTAGAAAGCTAATTGTGGAGGGTTCTTTCAGGCTCTGCACACAAGTGGTATCCCACAGCAGAGACAGAGGACCCTAACAGAAAAGGTTTTTGCATGCTTGTAAGAGATACTCAGCCTCTTATTGCAACTCCAGCTGACATGTCACCAAGACCAAAACTTCCAGGAGAATTAAAGTATATTCAGTCACCTTTCCTCCTTTAACATGACCTGATCTTCTTTAGTAAAAGTACTCAGCAGCCTCTGGAAATATACGAATTGCATCTGCAGCCACCACATATACTCAGGTCCTACTTTTAGAGTTTATTCACTATTTGTCAAATGAGGACAGCATCTATTTCCTTGGGGGGAACAGATGTGGTGGGAAAGGGTTTCTAATTCCTCACACGAGCGCTCTTGCAGAGGGACAGAATACCATAGAAAGATTTTCTTACCCACAGGCCAAGCCAATGTCATATGATCCATTTCGGATGCCACCTGTAACAGCAGTGCAGAAACATTCTTATTATCATTAGGAGCAAAAGCATTTCCATTCTAGCTGTGGTTTCATGAACCCCTGAGGCACCTACCACAGGCAAATAGGGCATTCCCTCTTCCCTTCCACCTGCACAACATAAGACAGGTCAAGGAGCTAATGGGGCTGAAGACCAACCACGACCTGACATGCAGAGAGCACTAGAGGGCTGAAGCTGCCTGATATGGAAGTGATGGTAGAACTCACTCTCAGAAAACCAAGTTAGTTCCATAGGAGTAAACTAGGCCACTCAAGGATATAAAAGTATTCAACTAGTAACACCAAGGATTCCTAACAGCAGACATTATTGCTACTTCTACTGCTCAGACAGATTGGAGAACAGGAGAAAGAAGCACTTGGGGTGGGGCAGGTATTGCCTCTGATCCCTTACCTGCTATATTGATAACAGCCTGTAGGCCAGAGGAGCACTGCCGGTTCACGCTCGAGCACGGCACCGTCTCTGGAATACCACTAGAAAACAAGGCAGCACTGACTAAGACTCGGTGACGCAACAAACCAAATCTCTAAAGACAGCATTAAACCACGCGATTAAACTTTTAACCCTCAAGTTCAAGACAGATCCCTTCATGCATTTGTTGACCTATTTGGTCCTGCACCAAGAGAAAGCAAAGTTCAGAGAGAATTTCCACACTTGATTTGCAAGTGGTTCTGCAGGCTGTTTCCCCACAGGTGTGTCTTCAGAAGGTCCGCTCCAAGCAGGGGCCTCTTGTGCGCCTTGTTCCCAAGCTTTGATTTGGGCCAGAAATACTGAAAAGCTCTGTAATATTCGCAGTTACAGGTGGGCTGTGCCTGCCCCTCATCACTTGACAACAGACACCGGCTATTTAGAAGCTGAGATCCAGCTCAGTACAAACCACTGACCACCAATACTGGGGAAGGAACAGAAAGACTTGAGACAACTCAATGGTTGAGTGGAAGGAAGTGCAGCTTGGAAGTGTGGAGAAGCAGCAGGTACAGCTGGGAGCCCACAAAACAAGATCTCCCATTCAGAGGCCCAACACAGGAGGCACAAACAGAGTAAACAGCCTCACCTCTGCCTCCCTGTCTCTGCCCCTCCAAACACCTGATCAAAGTCTAATTTCTAGGCAAAAGGTGATGTGCTGTAACAACCTAGGAGTGCATGAGCGTCATCACAACCTCTGACCCAGTGCTGCCCCATAGCCAAGGCCTGAGAAAGAGGGGAAGAACCTCGGTCCGGCTGAGAGTTTACCTTAGGAACTGTGCAACTCTCGCAATCAAAGCACCGGCTCCAGGCTGCAGCACGTTTCCTGGGTGCAAAGATACGGTTCCAGTCAATGGGTTGCATCCCCCTCGCTATTTGCTGCAGGCACTGAAGGGATACAACATCACCATGGCTTGGTACCACCTGGCACCCAGATCAGAGCCCCACCACGTGCCAGAACAGTGACAACAGACACACTGATTTCAGAAACCTAATACTGCAAACTAACCCCTTCCAACCCCACAATACTTCCAAGTACCCCAGGAGCAGCCTGTCCCGGAGAGCTGTCCAGACCAGGAGTTTCAAAGTCCAGAGAGAGGTTGTTTACTCACCCACACAGATATCCCCCAGGGCCTCAGGACGAAGATTGACATCTTGAAGAACGGCTGTCATAACAGCAGACAGTAGTTCATCAGGCGTAGTATCCTAAAAACATAGGGGATTAGAGCTACTCAGCAAATACCAGTAACTGCTCTGTCACCAGTTTACCCTCAGGTTACTTCACAGGACTCACAGCTTAGGCAGCTTTACTCCACTTCTCAGCTCATTATGGCTGTCATTGTCTACAAAAGTCTTCTCTGTGTTTTTCACCTTCACACACTGTAACACCTGCTGCTTTCTTACCTACCTCAGTTTCATATGAGCACACTTCGTAGGGCCTTCAAAACCAAACGACTATGTTGAGTTACGTGACAAGACTTAGCAAGTAGAGCCCTTCAATTTATCTTGTGAAAGAAACAAGGGCGACCCCTCAGCTGGTGAGAGGGCCCCCCAGCATGGTGAGACCTATCTTGAAGGATGACAAGCAACGCACAACCTCTGCGGCCACCCTTGCACCCTCGGTCTGCACCCCTGAACACTGCCACTGCCACCCAGGGGGACAATGGGCCGCTCCAGAAGGGCGGCACATCCACGTAAGGTGCTGTTGGTACCTGCTTGCGCAGGGGAGGGAGATGCTGCCTTTCCAAGGGGTTGCTCTGTTCGGCCACTCGGGTAACAGCAGCACGGAGAGACCTACTTCGGGCTTTAAGAAGAGCCGGGAAACTCGTCGGTACATTCGCTGGCTTTCTGGGGTGCCAGTGGTCCTGCTGCACCTGGGCCGTGCACACCCCCCCCCCCACCCGGCACTAAAACCACCAGAAAGCGCCTTTTATACCATTTCACAGCACAGCCCGCTGCTGGGCCGTGGTTGGGGGTCCCACATCTCCTCGACCTGCAGCGGAGCAGTGCTGGGGGGCTCGGTGCCCGAGGGGACCCCGACGCGGCACACTGCGGGGCTCGGCAACCGGGGGCAGCGGGAGCACCCAGTCCCCGATGGGGAAGGCGGGCAGTGGGGCGGCAGTCCCCGTAGCACCCCGGGAGCAGGACAGCCCAGCCGGGCCATACCTTGAAGCCGCCGCGCTTGGCGCGGGCGATGGCGGTCCTCCGCCCGTGCACCACCACCACATCGTCGGAGCTGGCTGCCCGCGGCGAGACCCCGGCGCGACTCCCGCACGGCGCGGCGCTAACCCCCGTGCCCGGCCCTGGGGGGGAACCGGCGAGATGCCCCAGCAAGAGCTGCACCCGGCGAGCCGCCGCCATGTTGTCCCCGCCGCCTCAGGAAGTGGGTAGAGGCGGGAGGCGGCAGGACGCACGGGCTCGTTTGCATGGCCCCGCCCGCAGTGGGGAGCCCGGGGCCGGGGGTGGGCGATGGGGACTGACTGAGAGCTGTGGAACAGGAACGTGCAGCCGGGCTGCACCAGGGAGCGGTGAAAGGAACGCGAGCGAAATGGTTGAGTACAGCTAAAATGGGTAAGCAGGGAAAGGAAACAAACCGGGGAAAAGGAAGAAAAGAAGGGAGAGAGAGGGGAAAAAAAGAGGGAGGAAAACCTGGGAAAGAGAAAAAAATCGGAAAAAATAAAGCCGGGAAAAAACAGGAAAAAGGGAAAAGCCGTGGAAAATGGGGAGAAACCGGGAAAAATAAATACAGGGGAAATAGGGAAAAAGGAAAAAGAAACGGGGAAAATGGGTAAAAGTGGGAAAAATTGGGAAAACGGGGAAAAAAAGAAAAAATGAAACAAAACTATGCAAAAGAAAAAAAAAACAAACAGGAAAACGGGAAAAAACGGGACAAAAAGAAAAAAACAGGAAAAAGGGAGAAAATGGGGGAAAAAACAAGAAAAACAAAAACGGAGGAAAAACGGGAAAAGAAAAAACGGGAAAAACCGAGAAAAACAAAAATGGAGGAAAAACGGGAAAAGAAAAAACGGGAAAAAACGAGAAAAACAAGGAGGAAAAACGGGAAAAGAAAAAATGGGGGAAAAGCGGAAAAAAGGAAAACAGGAAAAACTGGAAAAAATAAAGGGAAAAAAGAAAAAAAAATAGGGGGGAAAACAGAGGAAAGAGAAAAAAAGGAAAAAAAGTAAAGAATAACGAAAGAAAACCCCACCAGGGACAAAGCACCAGCGAAAATAAATAACAGAAAAAGGACATTTTAAAATTAAAAATAAATAATTAACCCATGTAACTGTGTGTGCTTGGGGCATCTGCACACAGCGGGACGCCAGGACCAAAGGGCACGCAGAGCCCTGCACTGATGGATGGTTTCAGGTAAGCCCCAGGAACCACCCGCCCCATTCCTGCCTCGACCCCTCAAGTCCTGTCCCCTGCCTCACTGGTGGCCTGAGCCCATACCGGTGCCAGGGGACACCCAAGGGCCGCTCCAGCCTCCACCCCCCAGGGAAAATCATTTCCCAGCAGGACCATGACAGTGCAGTGCACAGGGAAATCCACTGAGCTACAGGTAAACCGGAACAAAATCAAGGAAAAACAAAACAACCACCAAAAAAACCCAGCTTTACATGGCAGAATATTACATTCTCTTTTCCTGTTTCATTCTGTACATCAGAACACTGCACGGATTTTAACAAATAAAAAGGCACAGGCACCTGAGGAGTGAGTCGCACACACACATATGCACACACACACGAGCCACATTCATCCACGGGATGATTCCGGTGCTTTGAGGGGAGTTTTGGGGCAGCCCCAGCCCAGGGCAACCGAGAGCTTACTTCTCCTCTCCAAGTTTTGGAAAGAAGGCAAGCACCCACCTGCCACCGAAGGCTGAGAAAATCAAACCCAAAGAGATTCAATGAAAGAGGAGAAAGCAGCTTAAAAACGTTTTGGTTTGGTTGTTTGGTCTTTGTTAGCTTTGGTGAAAACACATCTCTCGTTACCCTCTTCTGACAAAACCCTCCCCAGCCAACACTGATTGTTTTCTTTTTGTCCATCCATCCCATGTTACCAAACAGACTGATGATGGATTTGGTCCTATTCACAGAATAAAATTCTTCGCTCCCACCCAGAGAAAGGAGGCAACTTTAAACCCCCCCTTCCCAAGACAGCTGCCCATCACCGCTGTGTCAGACTGGTTTCACCAGAGCCCAGCCTGGGCAAGAACTGGCCTCTGCAGCTTTGCAGGGAAGTTTCTAGGGAATCCTTTGAGCTATTTCCCCTCATTTTCCCTGACCATACCAGTGTTTTATTTTTAAACTGGAATAGCTCTAATTTTTGCTTCTTTTCCGAGCTGTTGACAAGGAAAGGCTCTTACTGGCACACCTGCCGTGCAAAGTCTTGATCTCTTCTTCCACGTGGAAGAATCCAAGGACAGGTCAAATCACACCAATCTCCCAACTTCCTCTTCAGTCCAAGCAACGCTTTTCATTTTCAATTAGAAACAATATGTTTTCACCCACTGGCATGAAGACAGCAACCTCCTGGTAACTGCATATTTAACCCTTTGCTGGGCCAGATGGACACAGCTATTGCAGCAGGAAAAGGGAAGGTGCAATTAGTTTGTCCAAAATAACCAAGATCTGATGAATTCATTAGCTTCCAAGGAGTCTGTGCATGCTCCCTGCCCAGTTTCCCAGCAGGGTACTGCTTGTAGCTCACAACTGGCCTATTTTCTCCTAAAACTTCAAATATACTGGGGGAAGAAATCTGTTTCCAGCTGCCCTCAACTCACATAACTCTCTTCTGATTTGCAGCTTCACAGCCCTGCAGCTGCTGCCTTGGGCACCATCATGGAGATGATATCCCCCTTCCCTGCTCCCAGGGCTGGTCGTACAGGGCCTGGAGAAGGCACCCAGCCCTTGGCAGTCCAGATCAACAGGCTCTGTTTCTCTCTGCTTAGGTTATTTGGAGACCCACTGGGCTCCTCCTGCAGCTCTGCTTCCACAATGTATTGGCAGCCCTCCAAACTCAGTGTAGCAGCATAGGTACAGGCTAGCAGGACTAAGGCTGTGAGCAGAGAGCATCCTCACCAAGATGTCCTCCAGCTCCCACCTGAAGCCTGATGGTTCCTAACAAGAACTGTCTGATGCTCAGCTGCAGGTATTGACAACATTTAAACATCCCTACACACAGCCCATGGCAGAGGTCCTGGGCATCGGTCCATGGGTGTACCCCAGAGAGACCTCCTGCACCCTGAGAGGACCCCTTCTTCCAAGAGTCACACACACACACATGCACACACATACACAAAGGCAAAGTCAACACGGCTGCTGCATCATCGCACCCGACCCTGTGCTTTGCGCCGAGCATCACTCCTTGATTGTAACCGCTTAAGGCACAGAACAGTATTAAATGCCGCCCTGCCTGGAGATGTGGGCTGGTCCCACGACCTCCAGGAGGGTTCGGTCCCCTTGTGAACGAGGACATGCAGGTCCCCCCGACTCTGTAGTCTGAGGATCATCTCCTTCAGCTTGGCTTAAGCCCCTGTCTGTTCTCCTGCAAAAGGTGGTGACCGCCACTGAGCATCTTATTCATCTGCTGTCCCGGGGATGCTGCCAGCATCGCTGTTGTGCTGTGGCGGAGAATGGATCCCATTTGCTGCACTTTCCCCTAGAGATAAGTAACATGGTGAGGTGGGATGACCCTCTTATCGCTGGCAGCAAGAAGGTTACTTGGTCCGAGGCCAGCACTCGCATAAGTCTGGGAAATCCCTCACTCTGAATTCCTGGTGCCAATAATCCTGAGAGCAGCTTGGAAATCCAACAACACAGAGGGTGCTGAGCCAACAATGAGCAAGAAGGGACCTATGGGGGCCACCGCCAGGACAGCCCAGGGTGGAGGTCTGAACCGTAGAGCACAGAAAGTCTGGCGGCCACCCCGTTCCCACCAGCGTTTCCCCATCCCCACTGCCAGGGGCTCAGAGCCCGCAGTTCACGAAGGGGTGTCTCAGCAGGTCCTCAGCTGTCGGCCTCCGCTTCTCCTCCACGAAGATCTGCTCGAGGAAGTTGCGGCAGGAGTTGGAGACACTGTCAGGGAGCTGGGGTTTGGTCGGCTGGGTGGCAATCTTAAAAATAGCCGCCATGGCCTCGAACTCTGCCCACGGCGGCTTCTCTGTTAACATCTCCACCACGGTGCAGGCCACACTCCTGCAACAATGCCAAGACACAGGGGTGAGATGGAAGGTAGCGCACTGGGGCGGTGGCTGTGTATCTCAAGTCTAATCAGCTCTAAGGCTGCACCTGACTGGATGGACTGTGGGGAGCAAAGCCACATGAGTGGTGGGCGCACATCTCTGGAACACATGGCCCCCTGAAACTCACTGTTCAGGCAAGCCCTTGGAACTGGGCTCTCCCTCCCACCAGCAGGAGTGAACTTGCAAGTCTTGCTCTAAAGCTGGTGGCTTTTCTGCCTACGTTAACTGTCAGATATTAAGTCTGATAACAGCATGTGAGAGACGTTATTGGAGCATTCCCTGAAGGGAAACCCAGGCACAAGTCCAGACACCACTGTTTCAGCAATAGCATGTATGAATGAATGTGTGAATAGCCAGAATTAAATGTTTGCCTACATCCAACTTCATCTCCAAATGAGCAGCAAGTGCCCAAAACGTTTCCCTGTGCTTGCTAAGGAGTCATCGTCACAGCAGAGACACTCTCTGCCACCTCCATTCATGGTTGCTCCTAAGAAACTGAACCGCATTTCCCTTCTATCAGCTAGAGTGGTGGTACAGGGTACATGGCTGCCTGACTAGTTTTTGTTGACCCTACTTGCTTGGGCATGCAACAGAAAGCGTGTTGCAAAGAGAGGGCTTCCTCCTCATTTACTGGGAGCGTTAGTGTTATTGCAACTCCTTCAGGCTCCAGCTGACATCCTCCACACATCCAAACATTCACAAGCAGCCAGTGAATTTGGTTTTCTTTGTGCCTGAGCCACATGAAAACACCCAGCAGCAGATTTTGAGAGGCTGCACAAGATCCCCTGAGCCTAGGTTTTAACTAACCTAAAATCAGGGCAACTAAAACTCAACAGCTCTTTCAGCAAACTTTGTTATCAACCTGCTTTCCAGAATTAAAGAGCTGCTATGGGGTCAAGCTGCACATGACCGTCACATATAATAAGAACTTCCAAAAGCAAGCTGTGATTCTAAGTGCTCCTGTTTTGCAACCTTCAGCTACAACGTGCACCCTCTGGATATCTGCATAGTTGATCTTAACATTCAGCTCCTATTTCCATCCTTCACACTGCTCCATCTTCCAATCACTAGCTATGCTTGTTGCTCCCATTACAACTTCCCAAATGGACCGATAGATTTAAATGGCAGTGGTGGGGTTTCTATTGTATTCCTTACCATACATCAGCTTTCCTTCCATAGCCCTCTCCACTGATAACCTCTGGGCTCATCCAGTATGGTGTTCCCATGACAGATTTAATCCCAGTCCCAGACATGCAGATGGTTTGAATACGTTTGCTGGCCCCAAAATCTCCAAGTTTCACATTTCCAGCAGAATCTCTCAAAATATTGGCACCTGAGGTGAAAAGCAAAAACAAAACCGCCAAGAGATGAAGCAGCAACCTGAACTGAAATGGCTACAGCAAGGAGAGCAACGAGGGCACTGGCAAAGAGCCCATCATGAAGGACCCCAAAGGGCCTTGGTGAGGCTGGAACTGGCATAATATAAAATCCCTCTCTCCTAAGGCAGCTGCTCTCTGAGAGGGTTGACTCTCACCAGCATCTCCTCACTCACCAGGTTTCCAAAAGGGAGCAGTGAATGGGAGATGACAGATCATCTCCAAGCTGCTGAACATATGACAGATCATATGTTCAAGCTGCTGAAGGTCAGAAGCAAAAACACTTTACCAGATTCCATCACTACATTTTGCATAAGAATTTATACTGGGACAGGGGGAGGTTGGGTTGAACAAATCCGCTCTGTTATCTACTCACCTTTAATGTCCCTGTGGACAATCATATTGCTGTGTAAGTAGAAAACGCCCTGCAGGATCTGCCTGGTGTACTTCCGTGTGACATTCTCGGTCAGAGCACCGTAAGCTTTTAGCTGGTCCTTTATTGAGCCCTGTTACGTAGAAACAACATGCACCAACCATAAGGACCAGCAGAACCACTGCACATTTTCAACAACTGTCTCTTCCAACTCAAAAAAAAAACCCTCTCTGCTGTGGAAACAGCAAGATAAAAATCCACAAAGTGCTGAATGAAACAAAGTCTCGTCCTCAATGTCCCAGACCCCACTGGAGAAAAAGGTCTGCTGTCTGGTGTGTATCAGTGCTGCCTTCTGCCAACACTACAGATCTTTTTCCCCCTCTAGTGGCTGGATATCACCAATAGTTCACGAAGGACTGAACTGATGAGGAGTTAACCACAAGTAAGAGGATAAACTCCACTAGTCAGTCTTCTCTGAAGCCACCCCACACACACAATTTCTTACAGCAAGGACTACCCACACTACCATGAAGCAGACATGATCAGCCCCACAGCAGACTCCTTCAACAGTAAGATCCAGGGTAAACAATTTGAAAGGACCTGAATTTCTGACCCAAGCATGCAGGCTTCTACTGAAGTCTGATTTTATTGATCAAAGGGGAAAAGAAGCAGGGGTGCAGACATCTGCCATCTGCAAGAGGTTCACCCCTTCAATTTAAGCTTTATTTTCTATCCCCTTGGAAATGGACGTCCTTCACTATGCCAGAGCTGGGTTTTAGCAGGTATGAACCAGAAGCAGATTTGGGGGTTAATCAGGGACAATACACACAGCTCTACCTCCCGTATTCAGGTTAGCTGGAAAGCAGGAGAGAAAACTCATCCTGTTTCTGCCTGTCCTGCAGCTTTGGGGTTGATCCAAGGCTCCCATAGTCCTTCTGTTCAGGGAACAGTGGGCTGCTCTGCTCCAAGGCAGTCACTCAAACTGTATCAGCTTTTCCATACCCACCCTCCTCTGCTGTTGCTCTGCCCAGCTACTGTTTTGGCCTTCTTTTGAGGCTGGTAGTGATCCTGTGGGTGGGCCTCTGCTTTCCCCTTTGCAATGCAGCTGAGTAACCCAAGATGCTCTGAAATTACCCCTCATACAACATGTATGCAAGCTATGTTCCTGCACCCACAACCAACCAATTCTTATCCTATCCTCCCTCACCCTGATGGGGGACATCAAACAAGAAAGGGAAATGCGGTCTTCAAGGCCTTTGGTTATACAGATCGTTGTTTTCCAAGCATAAATTCAAAAGTAGTTTCTGGACAGGGCAGAAGTCAGCTATTTAACAGGGACAGTCATAAGATTGCCAGGTTAATGGTGCACCCAGCCTCGGCACTGTAAAGATTTTTTTTCCAAGCTGGCTGTGTTAAACCAGAACTTGGCCAGACCCAGCACTGCAGAGCTGCTGTCCTGCAAGGTCTGAGAACTCGTTCACTTCCACTGGCCTTGGAAACCAAAGCCCAGAGTGCTTTTGTGAAATAAACTGTTGTTGCAGCATGAAAGTCAATCTGTATTTGGTCAGAGCTCTGGTTTATCATTTAAAAAAAACAAACATTCAACTTCCAGCCCTGCTGGACACTGCCCCAGCACCAAGTGTTGGTTTCCTGGCTGCTAACAAACATCGGCATGCTGCAGAAAAAGCAGCATGGGGACTGCCAAAGCTCCCAGGGTTTACTCCTCTAGGTCCATGCTAGGGCTGCTTTCACCTGCCCACAGGGAGAGAGGGAGGAAGGCTTTGGAAGGGACTTAGGCGCGTGAAAGTCCACCTGGTTACTCACACACAAGATGTGTTAGGAGAGGTTCTAGCACGTTTATTTAATGACCAAAATGATTTGCAACCAGATGACTTCATAGTCCCTTCTGACCTTACAAATCTCTGTATAAACAAGGGTTTATTCTCCCACACTCTGGGGAATGAATCCAGCTGGACAGAAGGGACTTAGGAGAACAGAACCTCCGGCAATGTAAATAGCATTCTGTGGGCTTACACCAACTGATGACTTTGTCTAGATGTAATTCACATACTTGCAAACAGAGAAAGAGATGTTCCACTAATCTGTGTACACTCTCCAGCCCCAGCTTAGACTATCTCAGAGCTTTCTGATGTTCTTTTTCGCTAGGGCTATTTCATCCTATATCAGCGAAGTTACAAATTGAAGCCACTTGTGCACGAGAGGATAATGCTACCAACAAAGTTCTGTCCTGAACAGGAGAAAACTTACAAGTGAGCAACTCTGGATTTAATATACACATGCCGAGACCCATAAATAATTGGTGACAGCTGTGGGTGGACAGTTGTACTATTAGCTTTTCCTACAGAGATTTGCAATAAATATTTAAGGATGGGCTCAGGCCACATTGTTTGGAGCCAGATCTAGATCATGTTCCACATTCACCAAGTTCAGATTCCAGACTATAAACACACCCTGCTCCAGGATTCAAACCTAAAACCTGCCTTCAAAGCTTTTGATTTCAACCAGCGCATGTTGAGGGGCTTTACCCATGACACGCGGCTCACAACCTAAGCTTTCCCAAGCCTCAGGGGTGCATCCACTGCTTTGGTTTGGCTCATCAGATATAAAGCAGATCAGATGAACTCCAGAGCCAAAGTTCACCAAGTTCCAGGGCAGTCTAAACCTGTTCTCTGTCACTTAGGACAACCTTCTGCAGGAACTGCACTTACCCCTGGCATGTATTCAACAAATATAGAGAGCTTCTTCTCCTCAGGATCCCGCAAGCACCCATAGTACTGCACTATCCTGTCATGGCGGAGAGTCTTCAACAGCTGAATCTCACATTCTAAGGCATTAACTTCCTGCAACAAAACAGAAATGCTTTGTGATGAAAGGAAATGGTTACTTTGGGAATATTATCCAAATACTGCTTAGTGCTGAGCACTCTGTTCATAACACCTGTGAAGCTGCCCACAAGGACATCAGCCACATAAGGCTCAAATGAGAAGCACTGCCCTAAGGAAAAGGTAAGGAAAAAAGATAGGATACATGAGGGCTTGGCTTTGAGATAGTTTTACTTATTATTACTTGTGCTCAAGGAGTTTTTCTGGAAAGGTGTGAATGCAGATACTAGCAAAGCCAATAGAGTACCCACACAGAGAAGGTGGCGAAGGAAGCAAGGCAGCCAAAACTAAGGAAGAACAGACAGACCTGTGAGAGATGATACCTGAGACAGAGCAGGAGAAACCTGGTGAAAGAAACTAGGACGTAAGGAAGTCACCAGGGCATGCTGACTGGTGCCACGAACCATTGGGGATCACTCTGGAGAGGGCAAACACCACAGTCTCCACACACTGCCTTCCATCAGGAACATGGACCTCTTTGACATCTCTTCCTTGAGCCTCCAGCCCACCATTCCCCAACATGCTGCAGAACACAGTCCTGCCCTTGTACTCACTTTACTTGTCTCTTGACTCTCAGGGTCAAAAGGCACCTGCTTCACTGACAGCTCCCGGCCAGTGTCAGCATCATAGCAGAGATAAACTTCCCCAAAAGCCCCTCTTCCAAGCAGTTTCCCCAGCCTCCAGTTCACAGGTGCCTGCAGGGCTACATGAGAGATGAGAGAGTTGAGAGAAGAGCACAAAAGGGAGACTTCATCATCAGGGTCCATCTGAACCTATACAGAGCAGATCAGACTTGTGATGCAGCAGCAAGCCCCTTCTCTCCCAGGGACACCGTGACAAACTAGTTTTAAGTGCATTGGCGCTACTGGTGTGTGTGAGGGGGATGTCTCCCAGTCTACATTAGTGTAAAGCAGAAACAAGTCCTAGAAAAGTCACATTTCTTTCAGTCTTTCCTTCAAAAACTGCTGTCTTGGCCGATGTTGGATTTTCTCTCCTCTGCTATTGGAACAGTTAGCAGGATACAGCATGGCTGAGCAGCAACACAAGCAGGGACCAGTAAAGAGTTTCATCTCACTACTCTTAGGTTATCCACCACTGAACATGCCCGGAACGCACCAACTCCTATAGCATGGGCAGCCTTGCAATTCCAGAGCAGCCTGCTACATGATCTTTGGGTGCTGGGGGGACAGTAATGTAAGTCAAGGAATGGAGCCTCTGGGATGTGCAAGCAAATGCATCCAAGTCTCCCGGAAGTTTCTGCTGCATGAGCACACTGACAGTCCAACACACAAGCAATTTTCTGCAACTCAGCAAGTGATGAACACTAGCTGACCCCACATATGCTCTCAGCTCAAGGCCAAGTTGAGATACAGCCTATTGTATTAAACCTTCCTCGTTGAGACACAAGCTAGCACACTGTGCCTTGTATTAGGAGTGGAATCAGAGTGCATTCACACACATGTGGTTAGCTCAGCTGATGCCCAGTAATTCAGCAAGTGACACTAACTTGATTTTGTATGAGACCCCCGTGTACTGAGACATCCATGGCTTTGATTCACTTACAGTTCCTAGCTTTTGTAGGGGAGGTGCTGAAGACTTGCAGACCTTTTTCACAATTGCTCCTCCATTTGGGCCTGTACTCATCGTACTGCAAGGTGCTGAGCTTGCTGTCCCCATTAAAGCTCTTGGTTCGGCTAGAAGGGACAAGCTGAAACAGGTTCTCCTGTGGGAAGTAACTCCTAGGAAAAGTCCTCCGGCCTGTAGGAGGAAAGGGGGAGAGTCATGGCGAGAATGCACACAACAGTTTGTGTTTACCTATCACCACCTTCTTACATCACTGCCCAGATCCAGTGATTGCACCTCTTCAAATTAAACAAAACAAGCTTGATGAAACTGAAGCAAAGTCCTGTGAACATTTTAAATTTGATTTAAGAGTTGTTAACAGCAGGCATTACATCTAATGCCGATGTTTCCAGAGGGGTTTGAAACAGTTTAATTACATTAGGGGGGTTTATTGGTTGTTAATCACAATTCAACTCTGAACAGGCAGGGATTTACACTGCAAATTATCCCTGCCATCCCCTAAGTCCACAACAGAAATGACCACACAAGAATGCCAGATCCCACGATAACTGCTTTCACAAGGGTGGTGTCAGTGAGAGATGGAGTTCATTCTGGAAGGCTCAATATGCTGTCTGAATGTCTTCAGTTTGGGGTGGTTTTTTTTCAAAGGGAATTTGGTTCTTACTCATTTTTGCCTCCCACCATTTTCAGTCTTATACAGTGAATGAAGGAGCAGCAAGGTGATGGAGTGGTTCCCAAAGCTCAGAGCTCACCAGCTTAAAACAGAGATGTGAACAGATATTGCTATCCTGAAATTGCTATGGGATTTCCTGCAGCTCTGTGAGAAATCTGCAGTAAAGCTCACGAGCCAGCATCCTCAAAAGCCAGCAATTCAGGGGAACAGAAAGGTTGATATTGCCAGGGATGAGAAATGCCAATCATCCATGTGGCTAAGGAGGAGCTGAACAATGACTTTTATACATGCTTTAGATGCTCAGCATTTCCCAAGAGCAGACCTGCAACATCACACAGAAGATGCTCTGCAGAATGCACAAGTGAGTCCCAAATTACTTGGTGGTTCTCCCTCTATTAGAAACAGCTCCTTCCCAAGTCTCTCCATTCCTAGGCATTGTCACAAGCATAGAGATCCTGGACTGAGCACCTCCCTCCCCAGCCCTACATCATTGTCTTACCATCACTGTAGTCCTTGCGACTTTGGGAGAGGTGGTATTGCCTCGGGAAGGTCCCACCTTTCCCAAACCTCTCGCAGAACGGGATATCAAAATCTGACAGGAGGGAAGAAGACACATGTTTCCGAGTTCAGGTCAGAATCAAATGGCCAGAACATTTCTTACAGGAAGGTAAGAATGAGGTGACAAGCTGTTTATTCACATGACCACACATTCCCCAAGGCTCCCTCTGAAATTTGTCCACAGTCACACACTCCTTAGTGGAAAATAAGGGTTAGACACAGTGGTCTTGGTCCTCCCTACAGCAAAGAGGTTTAACTGCTCACTTTATGGACCCTGGCGCACGCTGTTCAAATACAAGGCAGGGAATTAACATAGACCAAGCCTGGTTTACAAGACTTCTTTGCACATGGAAAATGCAGAAATTAGTGTGGAGACAGACCTGCAAAGTCAGGTCCAGATCCATTTACTCCAAAACCTTTGCTTTGATACCAGCTTTTTCCAGGGAAATGCAAAAATACAGCACTTGGCTAATGCTGAATAATCTCTGCCCTCTTTCTTCTCAGATGCAGCTCCTGATCTCTAAAAGCCAGAGACCAATTTATACCTCCTGAGCTCCAAACCTTTATATTTAACTTTGCTTAAAGCTAAAAAGACAGAAGTGATTAAAGACCATCAGAGTTTATATTGGATACAAGATTACGAGAGACATGGATGGACATGCAAGACAACGACATATTTTTTGAACTGAAAAATTAAAAAACAGCACGGGAAGCCATTGCTGATAGCACTGAATAACTTGAGTTTAAAATATCTGCCATTTCTCCTCCATCTTTCACCTGCTGTTTTTCCTCCATCTAACTCTAATGACACAGTCTGTTCTGATTGTTTGTTTGTCTTAGCCTAGGGCCAGCAGCCACTCCTTGGAGACTGCTCCTGGCCTCCGCTGCACTTCAACGTGATTTCCCCATTACAGCAGTGCTCAACAAGAGTGCATAACGGCTGAAATATGGTCAGCAAGAAAAGCAACAAGGACAGGGCAAGAGGTTCTGAGCGAGCCATATGTGAGCAACGATGGAGTGGTGTCTCAAGGCAAAATGCCTCCCCTACCACTGGGGATGTATTAAAACCTAAAGCATTGTGGACTGACAGCAGCTTCATCTCTACAGTTCAATCTAGAAATCCTGCCTTAGGCCAGGAATGAGTTATCATGCCACAGGCTGACTGCCATTTTCTCATTTTTAATAGTGAAAGTCATTGCAATATTACAGAGTTTCCATGACTTAACCAGCTGGATGTTTATAAGTGATTAAGCAGTAACCTTGCAACTTACCAATACACTTTTCTCTAACAGCATTTTCATGATTACAATTACTAATGTAAGTGGAAAAGTATAACTCCCTAGAGAGTACGGGACTCAGGTTTTGCTATGTAGGAAGTCAGGACCCTGCAAATGCAACTCACGTGTACTAATAACAGACAAAAGGTGATCCCACAAGGCTGTTTCCAGCTGTCAGCACCTCGCAGCTGTCTCCAAACACAAGAGCAAGGCCCCCTCAGCAACTTCTTCCAACACAGATCTCTGATGTTTTAACTTGCTTGCATCTGTTTACCTCAGGGCCCTTGCTATCCAGTTTGCACTGTTATTGCTGGAAACCAATTCCTGAACCAGGCTAAAAGGTTCTTCAGTGCTACCACTACCACTGCTGCACAGCTGAGAAGGGTTAAGGGTTAATGATTGTTAAAGAGGAACCCTGCCTGTGTTTGATGCTCTGAGTCTTTCGATTTTAGAGGACATTCATGTTTGATCATTGCAGAGGTCATTTTTGATATGTAACCTAAGCTATGGAGCTATTTTGCTTGATTTTTTTTTATTACTTTTCATGCCATCTCTTTAATGGCCTTTATCCAGGCTCTTTTCTACTTTTTATGCTTTCAGCTTTTTATACTTTTAAGCAAATACAAGCCTCCAAGAGTGCTTACCCATGCAATCAAGACTGTCTTTGGGATGGGTCTTCCTTCCAGGAACAGGGGTTTGGGTGAAGGGAGGGCTGCAAAGGGATAAACAAAACAAAGGATACACTTAATTATATCAGAAAGGCTGCTTTTTATATCAGAAAGGCACTTTATTATATCAGAAGAATAAATTAGGAAGTGGTTACACACAGAAAGGACAGACTATACCACAAGATGGACTGATCACTGATCAGCCCAGTCTACCCAAGTGAGCTCTCATCCTCAAGCTGCACAAGAATAAAGACTGGTTTTTTTTTCTAGATCACAGATTGTTCCTGTGGCAAACAAAAGGGATGCTGAAAAAAAAAAAACCAGTCACCAGGATGAAATGAAGCAGCCAAAAACTGTAACACCTATGCATAAGATGGTACAGAAGGAAGGCTGCAGATTTCTCTTCCCTCAACATCAAATATTCAACTGTACAACTCTGCTTTCTTTGAACATTGCTTAGTTGCTTTAGATGCACACATTGGAGTCCTTCAATCACCCACAATTTACGCAGGTCTCCCCTTCTCTGCAACATCATCCCCCACCTTCCTCATGCAGAAGGGTCCATATCACCACTGCGCACACTTTCAGGAAGAAGAGTGCAGGACGGGTGCTTTGATGCTCAAGATCTTTAAACTACATTGAGAAGATGCCAAAGCACTACAAGGATCTCAACAATCCTGACTTCACCCCAGCCTCTCTAAGGAACAACAGGGTAATCTGGGTAGGTTGCTTTTCCACTATCCCTTTTAATAAAATGGGCATAGCAGCACAAATCTGCTTTGTAAAGTGCTCTGACATGTACTCATGTCAAAGCTGATCACAGCAGGCTTGCTGTGGAAAAGAGGGATTTGTCATGTTATTTATTAGCATCAGACAGGTCACCATGCCCGATGGCTAACTGCTCTCTTGACAAGGCTAATGCCATCTCAAGCAATTTGCTGCAAAGGCGCAGTTTTATCTTTGCAGGAATAGTCATACTTACTCCTCTTTCTGCCTTTGAATGATAAAGCCTTCCTCATGCATTTTCCTACACCCTATGACTGAACACAGTTTCCTGCTTATTTATATGTAAAATCAAGCCATACCACCCTCCTGAAAACACCTAACACTCTGCTCTCCCTTTACAATAAAGTGTTACAACCAGGCCAAGCTCTGTTGTTCTTCCTAGTAAAGTCTGTGTAAAAGCAAAGCTGGGGCTTAGAAGTTGGGAGCACAAGGAATCCAGCTTGTGGATACAGCTGTAACAACGAGCAAATACTTCACAGGAAATTATTAAAAGCCACAAAAACTAAATGGACCTTGATGCTGAGACAGATCCAAAACACTCAGACCTGCAAACCCAAAGGAGTATACACAATCAAATCAATGCAATGCAGACCTGCTGGAACACAGCCTTGATGCTGTATAGCAAAAGCAAAGGGGGAGAGAGAGGATCTTTGATGCAGATGGAAAAAAAAAATATATATTACTTCCCAAAAGGACACTGTGTCTTATACACAGCGTACCATGCACAGCAGCAACCATACAGTTGCTTTGCACGTGTGAGCTCGGACCAACCAGCCTCACCAACTATTGAACTGCAGCCTGTGCTAGTACAAAGTGTCCTAGTTGCTTCCTGCTGAGAAGCTAAACTTAGTTGTTGCTCGTCTGGTGTCCTCAGCACCTTGACTGACACATCTGTGGCTGCTGGCAGTGCACAGGGCCTGCCAAACTTACAATTGGTCAATGGAAAACAGACAGCATGCCCAGGGAGGAGGAGGGAGAGAGAAGCTAATACATGGAGTATTGACCTGGTGACTGCAGAAAGACAGAGGGGTAGGAGAGGGATCTGACTGAAGCAGAAAACCTGGGCACACAAAGCCAGGCTGCCTGCAGATCACCAGCTACTTTGTCCAGCTACTACAATTCAAATCACACCATCACAGAGATGTCCACTCTGGGGTCTGGTTTTCAGCATTCAAGATAGCTTTGTTCTGCTCAAGTGCATCCTCATCCCAAGAAGAACCTCAGGGGATGCCACTGACCCTGCTCCACTCCTGCTGTAACACAGAGGCTGCATTTAAGCTTGTGAACATGGTGACACGCAGGACTCACCTGTCCACAGATCTGTCCAGCGATTGGCAGCTCCCAGACAGTGAATCATCAGGGCTGATGAAAGCTTCAAGCATCTAATAGTGAAACAAAATGGGAAACAATAAAGCCATGCACTGTAGCTCTTCAAATTCCAGTACTAGCAGACCTCTGCAAGGTCAACAAGCTCCAGTGAAGCTGGCTGATTTACATCAGCTGATACCAACCCCAGCAGAGATGAGATTCAATCTAACAAAAGTTTTCTTCCCAAGGAAAATCTATTTACGATGCCCTCTCTGGATTATTGTTCCTTACAACTGCTTTTTGCTAGCAGGGAAACTGAGGCAAAAATAATTAACACCCTGATGAGCAATGCATGCTGAGAAATGAATGGGATACAAAGTGCTCAAAGTATTTGTGGGAAAAATAGTAATATATATATGTCAGGACACAAATGATGCGCCCAAGGCAGATAGACATTGTGCACCATAGCCAGGATTGCTGCCCTGGCACACAAGACCAGCCGTCCTCCCTGCTGATAAGCAAAGCATCATCAGGGCTTTTGGCTGGAGGAACTGGCTTGGCTCTCACTAGCTCAGTGAGTCAAAAGCTGCATTTGTGTTGCTTCCTGGATGAGACATTGTACTAGACAGGGTTATTTATAGCTGGTTAGTAACAATAGAGGTTTTGTATTGAGTGGTAAACCTAGGGGCTATGTGCACTTCCACGCACAGCAGAGCTTGCTCAGGCCCATGCTGTGCCACAGTCTGTACAGTGCTTCCTCCTGGCTGCAGACCCACAGCAAACGCTCGCTAACCCTTACTCCACAGGCAGCCCTAAGCCCAGCTCACTCCAGGGAAAGCTGAGCAACGAGGGTTGAATACCACATGGAGTCACCCTTCACTGGCTCCTGGACCTGCATTGCTCCTCCTTCTCTTTGTACAGCAACAGCCTCCCTCTCCATGTGCTGTTCCCGTGTTAGACCTCCTCAACGGGTTGCCATAACAGCTTGCATTGTTGTGGCAGGCCAGTCCCAACTGGGAAGTGTGATTTTTGCTCCACTTTCCAGTTTTTACCCCAAAGCCTCACCCTTCAAAATGCACTAGCCAGAGAGGAACAAAATCTCGGCAAGAACCCAGTCTCCACCTCTGCCAGCCATGCCAGGTCTCTCCTAGCAGTTAAAATAATAATGCTGAAGCACTCATTTCTCAAAAGCATAAAGTTGGGAATCCAGGCAGCCTCCACACTCAGGCTCTGTTCATGTGCCAAGCTGGTCTCAAGGCAGACTGCAGTTACATCACAGGCTTGCACAGGGGCATCCCCCAAAAGGCAGCAAGCACCAGCTTGTAAGTGAGGCTTGTAAGTGCCTCTATGAGGCACATCTGGAAGCTGCAGCACAAGGACACTCTGAGAGCAGAGCCCATATGGTGAAAAGCATCACTGTTCAATGAGAAGAGGAGGAAGGAACCACCAAGAAATCCCCCCCAAAACAATCCCCAAATCCCCTTCTCCCTGAATTTAGTTCAGCATAAAGGGCAGCAGGCCACCCACAGCATGATGCTAGAGAAAGGCAAGTAGAACACCTGGGAGCCTTCACCAGGAACAGGCTGAGAGCTCAGCGAGTGCTAACAAGGCTGCATTAATAGCCAGTGGAGCTGCGGTGATTTACCCCTCAGGGGGTTCATGGGGACTCTCCCCCTGCATGCACATGCAGTTTGTCTTAATCCTACCAAACATGTTTGGAAGGCATGCGAAAACAATAGAAAGCCAACTTTTGGCTACAAGGAGCACAAGATACATCTGCACTCTGATGCTGCCAAGACTTAACCGGAGTAACTTATTTTATTAATGGCTGTACAATAAACTGTTGAAAACACAACTTTGCCATGGAAACACTGGCACAGCCTGCACACAAAAGCTGAGCTAGTGGGTGCTATTTGAGTGTAGGGAATGCATTTCTCCCAAGGCAAGATCCTTGGGGGCAGTCACAGCAGCCTGCTGAAGTGAGTTTAGTGCCTTCCAGATGTCCCTCCATGTCCCTCCTGCAAATTGTGGATCCTGGTCCTGCCTTTCCAAGAGCTTTGCAAGAATGAATTGTGCGTGCAGCCAGCCTAGCTGACTTCACAGGATCTATACAAAGCTCTTCAGACCTATAGCTTGAGCAGAGAGATGTAAATTGAGAGGGAGGCACAAGTTGCTCCCCCTCCAGTCCATCAACACTGTAGTTTCCTCCATCATGGGTACCAAATTGACTGGAGAAAGAGGTACTGCTCATCACTGCGCTGGAGATCTAGTTGCTGTTTTATTACTGAGGGATTAGAATACACAAACTCCTCATTAGGAGAGAGTTAAAAAAACATATGGGGGAGAGACAGAAACAAAACCACAGAGGCTGTAGGCAGAGCCAAGACTGTAACTGGAGCTCAGGCAGAAACAACACACAGGGAAGCAGCAAGAGCTGCTCACATCCCCAGGCTGTTGCAGGCACAGGCAATCCGTGTCTTGACACACTCCTTCGTGGTCCCCATAATCCAGGGAAGCTGTGGCCACAAGGACCTGGCAGCTGCTGTGCATGTATGTCCCTTATCTATGCTCCTCCAGAGCTACCTGAAGCGTCTGAGCACACTGTCCTGACCACTGCAGCTGGCTTTTAGGGTTCCTGGAAATTGGGCCTGCTGTTTATTGAGCATATCAAGCCTGAGGGCACCCATTCCTGGAAAAAGCTGGCCTGAGCCCCACAAACTGGGTCTTTAATGATGGGAATGGCACTCACAGCGCAGCCTCCCTTGTGTCTGCTGCTGTCCTGGTTTAACCCACAGCCCCCAGCCCCACTTACATTCTGATCCATGGTCTCAGGGATGAACTCGCCCTCACTGTTGATGCTGGTATAGGATCCCTGGCGAGCGATCTGCTGCTGCTCTTCAGGAACGCTCCCTGGGGGCGGAGAGCTCCTGCCAGTGTGCAGAGAGCCTAGGAAACAGGAAAGGCAGGGGTCAAGGACTTGCCACATCCAAGTCCTTCAAGAGACCCTGTTCCAGTGATCACAGACCTCCTGGAGATGCTGCTGGGTTTGAATTTGTGTCGAAGGGAACAGAGGAGCTAGAAGCACAATACTGTTTATGTACATCTACAAAGCTTTTGCAACAGGGATAGTCTGTTACTGTGGGGCCACACAATATCTAGCAAACTTGACCTTCAACACGCCCTGGATTCTAAGAGCTCTGCACTGTACCCCGGTGCTTTATCAATGCTAGAAAGAAAAGGACTCCAGAGTTCTGTTTTGCTACAATCAGTCAATATAAAAGCAGAACACAAACTCTAAACTGGCCTCTCCTCTTTGACCTCCAGGCATTTCCTTCCTCCGAATCACATCACTGCCTTCTTGTTCAGCAATCTGAGAAACAGCTTGGATGAACTTAGTGCAACATCACTTAAACACTTCTTATATGGAAAATGATTTTTACTTAAACACCCCTCTTCTTATTCCCTCAAATCCTCCCTGATTCCTTGTGTGTGTTCAGGCTTTAGCAAGCATTGCCCTCACACAGGCTTGGCTCCACTTGTCTTTCTGCAGTCCCACCCCTCCATCCCTGGGCTGTCATTGCTTCATGGCAAGAAACTGCTGACAGAGGTCCATGCTCATCTGTGCTGGAACTTTAACCGGTCTCATTGAGCAATGTGAGCCTTCACACAACACAACAACTTGTTTTTAAGAAGACTTTTGAAGAGCACACATCCTTGGAAGAGTTAGAAAGCACATGGAGATGGGTTTCTTTACACTTTCATTCCATTTTTATGGTACTCTTGCCAATTCTTGGGTTCATTGCTACCATTTGGTAGCAAAATGCCCAGGCTAAGCACAATATTGCAAGAGAAAGGTACCAGGAAGGGGCCTATTCTATTGTGAAAAGTCAATGCTGATCAACCAACACAATGCTTCTGCCTCTTCTGCTGCTATTCTACATCACAGTTGCTGTGCCAGATCAATCTCTGGCATAAGTGCATCAGTGTGATCAACACTAGGAATCCAAGTTCCCACCTTTCACTTAAGCTGATATGCCTCAGAAGATTCTAACGTGAAGAGTGCCACAACCGCATTAAAGATCACTAAATCAGGTTTGCTGGATTTATACCAAATACATTGATATCTCTGTCCCATAGTATGCCTTCCTCCAGACTCCATGCCCATACTGTAAAAATAAAAATCATATGGCACTGAGTTACTTTTTTTCTTCTTCCTATTTTCTCCTTCACAGATTTCCTGCAGGATAAGAACACAGCAAAAATCGTCCAACTGAAGTAATGCCAAGATCAAGGGGGGAGAATCTCTCGAGTGCTGCAGCACTCATAATGAACTGGCTTTCCACCAGCCCTGAAAACAAAACCAGTTGGGAAGTACGGCATCCTCTCTTTGAAGACAAATAAACAAATGTTTAACCATTTAACAGTTCGGGCACTCTGGACATAACCACTGCATTATTATCCCCTTATGTGCTTAGCAGATGTCAATCCAGAATGCAGCTTAAGGACATTTGGGTAGCTCTTGCTCCAAAAAGCTGCTAGAGGATCTGGTGTGTTAAAACTGCTGTATCTTAGCCCTGTTGAGCATTTCTGTTACTGCTAGGATGAGGTGTGGGTCTGCTCAGCACTGCTGAGGTCTCTCACTGCAACAACCCACCCATTGCCCAGGAAGTCTTTGACTCAGATTTTACAAAGGGCTGTACATGCCCTGTTTGATTTTGAACCCAGGGAGTTAAATGTGCTTTATCGCCAAGTGTGGAGACTTTGCATGATCTCACAGTAAGCCTTTGCCTGTAACAACTACTCCCAGCCATCAGGTCAGTTGTGTTTGACCTTCCAGAGTCACATTTCCTGCCAAAAACTGTAAGAGGGGATAAGACACTAGCCATTTCCCAGCAGTCAAGGAAGTTAAGCAAAATGCTTAAGTCTTTTGCACGCTTTGAAACTGCTGGATTGAACCAGATCCCTTTCAGACTGTTTGGGTAGAAGAGCTGCTCCAAGTAATTTATGTAGCTCAGACCTCCAGGACAACTGGTTGCTGCTGCTTCACATCCATTTATGTCCATCTGCCCTGGAGGAACACAGGGAGGTAGCGGGAGCAGAGCCCCATAGGCCCATGTTGATTCCTTTCTTCGGCCCTACCATGTCAGCAAAACCTCAGGCAATCTCAGTGCTGCTGGTGGAGGGGAATGGAAAATAGGGATCAGGGAGAGACAACAACTGTGGTACTCAATGAGAGGCTTAATGCATAGTGAGGGCAAAACAAGGCATATTGGATATATTAGATAATGCTGCTTTACCCACCCAGAAGCAGAGAAAGATACTGACATACAAGCCCAGATATTTGGCACATTATGGATGTTCCTCACACTTGATCCAATACTCAAGAAACAGCAGCAGCATCAGGCAGAGAGAGGAGACCCCTAAGGGACTGTCCTCCTGGGGTTTAGAGGATTACATGTCAGCTCCAGTCCCCAGACCCAGTGCAGATAGGGCAGACTGTGAAGGACTTCTATACAAGCCAAATACTGGCTGTATCTAAGGTCCTTTCCAGCCCTAAATATTCTATGACTCTGATCTCAGTAGCTCTGTTGAGGATCCCTGAACTTGGAGAACTCTGCAAATTGGCACCCGTTGAGCATCTGACCTGGCTTGCCCTTTGGAGCAAGGTGCTTTGGGAAAGGATTCCTGCTCCATGTTACAGGCAGTAATGTAAAGCCATATATTTGAGACTAGAGCACAGCATGTCCTGAGCAGGGTGAACCAGGCCAGCACAGAGACTTACAGTCACTGCTGGCATGTACTGGGGTCTTTCATGTTCTCTTCTGTTATTTTTATTTAAGAAGTGTCTTTCATGCAGTATGTGCAAGTTTGTGGTGCTGCATGTACAGCCAGCTCCCCTGTGCCAGGCTTGGCTTCCCTCCATCACCATGTTGCCTCACTTCACCCCTTCCCTGCCCTTGCAGGTCCTTCCCTAAACTTCATCACTGATTGGCATCAAGTAGGGCTCCTGATGGAGAGGAGAAGCCCCTTAAAAGCCAGTGCTGGGGAGGGTTTGCTGGCAGCTGCCTATGCTCACAGCTGCAGCCACAGAGAGCCCAGCCCTAGGATGACGTCGCCAGATCCAAGGGAGGGACATCATGTCAAGATGTGCTGTTCCTCTGAGCCCTGGCAGAAACACAGGGCTCAGGATGCAGCAGCACACAAAGAGGAGATAAAACTGCAGACTTCTCACTCTGTGACTGTCGAGGGGAGGTGTGAGCACATGGTCCAAATCTCCATCCTCTCCATACTGATCCTCTGAGGATGGAGTCCCGTATCTTGACTTAAGGCAAACTTTAGGGCGTCCTAATAAGCAGGACAGGGCCCATTTTCCAGCCCTAAAGCAGCTGGTATGATGCATACAGCCAAATTCTCCTCAAAACAGAGGGGGTATCATCCATCCCAACTCCTGCAACAGGTCCCTAGCCCATGCTACCCCAGTCTGCACCTGGGTACTTATAGGATGGCAGTCATGGTATGGGTTTTCCAGGGAATATGCTAATGGTTAAGCAACTTCATCAACAGCCAGCCAGTTCTTCTGTCCTGGCCTTGTGAATTTAAAAGCACAGATATGTCCAGGCCTTTGTTTCTCAGAGTTATCTAGCCAGCAAAATCTTTGTACCATCTATCTGCAGAGATCTTTATTTGAAACCTCTCAGCGTGCTATAGCAGGGGTTAGACGATGCTGCACAAGTGTCCAGGCACCCATGAAAACCTGGGCACCATCACTGCAGTGGCAATTATCTGAGGTGAAAGTCCTGCTGCTCCCATGGCTGGTCCATATTTGACAGCCCAGACCCAGCCAGCATGAACTCCTGGTCTGGAGAGGACTGGCAGGCATGTGATGCCACAGCTCAGCAACCTGGTCTGCCACCATGAACAAAACAAATTAAAAATAATTTTAGAAGAAAGCTTTTGGCAAATGTTTCCACTGAAATGGTAATTCAGGAATGGGGCTCTCAAGTCATTTGTGGATAATGCTCTGAAATAAGTATGTTCTCAAAGTACATAAAAACAACCCTCAGTTACCTGAAAATCCAGAACCCAAATACATTTTGGCCAAAGTACCCTGGCACTCAGCTGAACGTTTGCAGATGCTGGTCACTAAGAGATTGGAACATTTTCTGCACCCTCACACTCCTCACCAAAAAAAAAAAAAAAATTGGGGGGGGGGGGGGGGGTGTCAGCTTTAGAAGTTTACGGAAAGAAAAGGGAAAAAAAAAAAAAAAAGAAGAAATGAAAATATTGACTTTGCACAAGGTATTTCAGGGACATGAAGTCAAGACATTTTCTGTCCAGAAGCAAAAAATAGTCAAATCTTCCTCAGAACATCTGCCCCCCTCTTTCCAATGTGCTTGTGCCAACAACATGCACTTTCATTATTTTTTGCTGCTGCTTGCATGGCAAAGTCAGCAGAAAAACGTAAGACATCTCAGAAACACTAAGAACATGACCCTGAACAACCTCTTCTTATAAAGCCACTTTCAATCTCCCTTTAAATATGGTTTCAAGAGAAAAGCTGAACTGAGTTAAGATCCTCTCTTGATAGCAAATACTTTGATGACAGGAGAAGCAAACACTGAAAAAGCGTGCAGCTGGAAGTGAATAATAGTTTCTCTTACAGAAATCCCAGCCTCTTAAGGCTGCCTTTTGACTATCCACCAGGTTCAGTGAAATCCCTCGTTCAGGGAACCGCAACACAGGATCATCTCTGTCTGTCTGTTGCCTGATGTTCGGTTTTATGCTCCATTTGAAACACTCTGCTCCCTTTTGGCTTGCTGGACTTTCTGCCCAGCTGTTAGATTACCCAGTTCTGGCTCAGGAGGTCAGAATAAATTAATCTCCTGGCTTGCAAAACACCTCCTAAGCAGAGCAGCAGTAGCTCCATACAGACCCAGATACCTCCAGAAAGATGTGGTGTGCTGTTACCATGCAGAGGGTTTGTTGCGACCCCTTTTCAAACAAAGAGCAAGACTGTCTGCATGGAAATAAACCCAGAGGGATGACTGTAGCATGGGCTGGTTACCTTAGCTACCTAACAGCATCAAGGACACTGGTTTTGGTGCACTAGCAATCAGCATGCAGAACCTCCTGAATATCCCAATGTTAACACTCTGCATCCTACATCTGGTGCTGCCTGGTCCTCCTCATCCATTACCTAGATTCAAACCAGCATGTTGCACCCATTCCTCCACTCTGCTATTCAGGCATTCCCTCAAAATCCACCTGTACCTCAGGCTCTCCATTGCAGAGCTGACATCTCTTCCTTTGTCTGCCTTATCTACAGGATGCTCTTCAAGGCAGTGACATCTTACAGTCAGTAGTGAAGACTTGGTCAGGGGCTCTCTTGCTATTACAGCAGCTCCAAAACAGAAAAGGCCAAAGCATAGCACAGAAGTTAGTGTGAAATTCTAACTTTGCAAGAACTAATCTTGTAGCTAGCACAGTTACATACGGAATCAATTCTGCCCATCACGCTCAGTTCACACATCAGTGACGATTGCCGGTGCCACAGCTCTTTGCTGGTTTACATTAACAGCTTGACAAGTGCCAAAAAGAAAGAAAGCAAGCAGCAGAAATGTTTCACTCCAGCACAACTTCTGCTGAGGCTCTGTGCCTTACTATGTATTTGTGCATGCATTTCATTCAGGGTAATCTAGTGACTCTGCCAGACCCTGGGCAAACTCTCAAGAGCAGTGTGAGCTAAAAAAAAGCCACAGTAGAAAAAGACAAGCCTACTACATTGAAACATAAGGCCCAAAGAGAGCACTTGTACCACCCACCCTTGGCTTCCGTAACAGTTGGGCATGGCTGCACAAGGGGCTATGCTGGACCTACCCTAGAAGAACATTTCCTATATATCATCTGAGATAACAGCAAACCACAGGATATATGAGAGAAAAAAAGGCAAATCCTCAGAGAAAAATGTACTTTTGTTGTAAAGAGAAGAGTTTGGAAGTGTTTACGGCCATATAAATACAGAGGATGCTTGAAGGATTAAATATATCTTTATGCATGTTTGTGTAAGAAGGTCCCACTTTATTTAAGGGCTCTGACATGGTCATTTCTACAGCTGTCAAATCATTGCATGAAAACAGTAGGGACCTATAGAAATTACCCTGTAACCAGCACCCACAGACATGGCAGAAAACAGTCACTGTATGACAAAATCATTATTCTGACTACATGTTGTAAAATGAATAAATTGGAGGGTTGTTACACCAATTTTGCACAAGGCACCCTGCTCTCTACAAAATTCTACAAGGTTCTTCACAGAAAAGGTTCTAACAGACAGCTTATCAAGAGTACTTGTCATTTTAAAAAGCTTAGAGTATTTTAGAAAGCGCGAAAAGCATAAACTCAAACACAGAAAATAAACAAAAGACCACACAATGCTACAAATAAACTTCAGTCACTCCAGGGTTGCAAGAAGAGACAAGGCACTTGCCAGCCTGGCTTTGGAGGCTGCAGGTACCTACTCCCAGCGCTTCTGAAGGAAAGGGATGCTCCCCTTCATCTGAAACCACTGCAAAACACTGAACACATCCATTCTCCTGAGAAACCAGAAAAGCAGCTACCACAGACAAGCAAGAACAGACTGATGGCATGGAGACACATATCTGTGAAGCTTCTTATGTCGTGAAGCTGATCCCAGCTCAGGAGCAAAGAAGCCCAAGTGCATTCAGCTATATTATCCTGCTAACTGGGAAAGGAGGAGAGAACAACAGCAGGTAGTTAAAGGAGTATGTCAAGGCCTCAAAAAAGTCTTGGCTTTCTGTAGATCGCACTCTTCACTTCGATAAAGTTCAGTAGCACTGAATTCACTGGAGATTTTTATCACTGCATTTCCTCTGTCATATTACACCTCAGATCCCCTCTTCTTCTTAGCTTTCATGTCCAACATGACCCTGCTCAGTACAACTTCATCTGACCTGTGTAGCTTGCAGTCTCTTCCTCAGGCTGAGGATAAGCAGCAACTGCACTGAGTTATTGATGGGAGACATTAGAGTAGCCATCCAGACTTCAGCAGGTACAGAGTTATGACAGAAAAGAGAAAGGAGATGGTGGCCAGCTTGTAATAACACAGAACACCCCACAGAGTATTGCATTTTGCTGACCTGTTGAATACTTCCGCGTCCTCTCAGAGTCTTTGTACAGGGATCCCATGATATCACCCATGGACCTGGAGATCCTCATTTCGTGCTGTTTGCTGTTGTTTGGCTGGAGGAGCTGGTAATCAGACAAAGGGAATGATGAGACTTGGCCAGAGTACTTGTGGACACACCATGACCATGTTACCCAAGAACTATTAAAAACAAAATCAAAACCCAACAATACCAAACAGGCAAAAAGACACGCAAGTAATGTAGAGTACCCCCAAAAGTCATTCACAAACAATTCACATCTGTTACTGAAATACTCTAATTAAGCTCCAGCTGGTAATGGTAAATACAGATAGCTGACAAAAGACTGCTCCTGCACTGCACTGTTTCCAGACAGGTAAAAAAACTGATCCCTGGCCTGAACCCAGATTTGCCCCCAAATCAGAGCCTCTCTTCCATGCTCCCTATGTCTTCAAAAGGAGTGGAGAAGTTCCAGGAGCTGCGAGCAGCAGCAGCAGCATGGGGACAAGCTGCTACGAATTTCAAGACTCTCAGCCTCTCCGGTACTTCTAGGAAATATAAAGAAAAAAAAACCCAGAGTTGCAACATCTGCAAATCCCTACTTTACAGCCTGTGCTTGGGGCAGCACGACATGTGCTTTGGCAAGACACTCTGTGCAGGCGAGGTCAAGTTAATAGGCTTAACTTCAAAACCACTGAGCTCACAAAAAACAAATAAATAAAGGGGGGGGGGGGAATAGAAAAAGGACAGTCCTGCAGGAGACTGAAGGATTCTCCAGTTTGCTCTTCCTGGCCTTCAGTACTGCAGCATGACATGGACGGAACAGTCTCCATGCTGCCAGAAAGCATGGCAAGGGCCAGGGCACCACCCTGTATATGAAGGAGAGGCTACAAAGGAATGATGACAGCAACCCTAGGCAGAAAGCACAAGGGATTCTCTTGGGGTTTAACCTTGCCTGAGGATCTGTACAGTATTAACCCTTCACAGGATGCAGGAAGAGCTAGGGGGAGCTGAGCTCAGGCTCTGGACTGCCACCACAGGAGGATTTCTGAGCAGCTGAGCCAGAGCAGGGCTGACCCCTCTCATGACCAGCTTGCTCTTTGCTCTCCACCATCAGGATGCTCGTTTCCACTCCCCAACACAATAACAAGGCATCTCACTCGGGATACAAAAGAGCATAGAAGGTGAAGGGCTCACATTCGCTTTCTTTGGAGCGCTCACAAGGATCCTCAGGCTCTTCAGGGAAGGGCTCAGCTCCAACTGTTCCATCGCTTTGTCCAAATCTTCCTGGGATTTCAGCGGGATCAGGAGCTGGAAGGAATTGAACAAACACCGGAGCATGGTAGTGTCATACTTTTGGGTAAACAGAGGAAGCCAGATCCTTGCAGTGAGCAGTTTGGGAATCAGGGGACAAGGGAGGAACCCAAGGAGATGGACAGAAAACAGATGCCTTATGCCCTCCAGCTTGCTGAGCTCTAGTATGTTCTTCCAAGTTCTCATCTACCACAGAACAGATGCAAAAAATCACAGCAAAAAACATCTGCAAGCAGAGAGCTTAAAGGTCACGTCACCAATTCAGCTAGTGGGAAGAGGAGAAGGCTGAGATGAGACCTTAGGCTTGTTGCCTGCTATTCTGGGGCTGTTCTGATCTTGGAGTTTGTAGGCAAGACCTGCTGCTGCCCAGCCCCCAAACAGCCCCACACATTCTCTCTGGGTTTCTTCCTGGGAAGATGGCCACAGAATGGTGTTTCAAGAAAGCAGTGAGCTGCATCCAAGGATTTACTCTGGCAGATCCTCAGTGGCCTTCTCTACAACTGTTCCTGTACACTAACAGTCTCCCTAGTGTCTGGGCATCACATGAAATCAGGGAACATCTCACAAGTAGGTCTCTTCCCTTTTAATGTGAAGGGTGTGCATTGCTCTCCCTCCAAGAAACACTTCAACTTCCAGCAAGGCAAATTCAGGTTATGCTCTTTACGAGGTAAACAGAACAGAGAACTACACAGTGCCAGGTCTGTCAGGCAGCTAAAGGTCCTGGTATGTTCCTGCTAAGTGGCAGACTATTGCTCTCGTATCTCCAAAGGGAATCTGACCCCCCTGACATTGCTGTGTGGTGTACCAGGTCCTACAGACAGCCTGCAAAGTTTCCAATGCTCAACACAGCTGCACTTCAGAGGGGCTCTGTGGCCTTCTGCTGCCCTGAGCTAAGATTAATCACACAACATTTTTGCCCCTCATTCAGGGGCATTCTGCCTAATGTCATAAAAAACAGGCCTCAGCCTCTGTAGGTTGCCTCGGGCACTGGCACTGAATCCAGCCAGCAACATATGTTATACTCATGCCTGTGCCAAAGTACACAGCAGTTCCACCTGCCAAAGGGAATGAGCGGCCACAACACCCAGTAGGCTCTTGCTGGTCTTACTGGGAGCCACAGATCCCAGAACTCCTGAAAGGCAGCTCAGGCCTCCAGGTGATGAGGGTTCATGCCACCAGCGACAGCAAGCACACCTCAGATCAACCACCACAGAGTAAGACACTCAAAAGCTGCCTGTGTCTACCTTTTTGGTCCCAGGGTGTTGCCAAGGGTTTGGCTGTTGGCCTGCAGGCAAATACACTCAGACTGTGTGCACTGAGGCTAGGAGTTCAAGGATGACCAGGTCAAAGGAAAACTGTGGGCCCTGGCCAACAGAGATGAGGTTTCACCTCAGGAAACTGCTACAGTCACCTCCTGTACTGCTACCATCCTCCACCCAAGGATCATAGCCTGAGCCCACCAACCACCACCTTAGATGCGCACAAGGCTGTTATTTTTACAGTGTGAGCACCTCAAGGTTTGGATTGAGTTTCTCTTCTCCTGTGTGATAGAAAGGTTATCTTTCATCCCCATTTTGCAGACAGTGAACTGAGCCATATGCAGGCCACCTATTTTATATGATAAACATCAGGATTGTCATAGAACCATGTAATCATTTAGGTTGTGAAAGACCTTAAAAATCAACGAATCCAACAATAAACCTAACAATGTCAAGCCTACCACTAAAGTCCCTAAGTGCCACATATCTACACATCTTTTAAATACTTCCAGGGATGGTGACTCAACTCTTTCCCTGGGCAGCCTGTTCCTGTGCTTGACAACCCTTTCAGTGAAGAAGTTTTTCCCTAATATCCAATCTAAACTTCCCCTGGCACAAATTGAGTCTATTTCCTCTCATCCTATCACTTGTTACTTGGGAGAAGAGGCTGACCTCACGTCACTACAACCTCCTTTCAGGTAGTCATAGAAAGAATGATAAAGTCTCCCCCGAGCCTCCTTTTCTCCAGACTAAACAACCCCCGTTCCCTCACAGATGTTCCTCTTAAGACTTGTGCTCCAGACCCTTTTACCAGCTTCATTACCCTTCTCTGGACCCACTTCAGCACCTAAATGTCTTTCTGGCAGTGAGGGGCCCAAAATGTCCCAAGAAAACCAAGCTCTTGCAGCTGTGGATAGCAGGTACTCCTCAGCTTATACCTACCATAGGACCCAGCTTCAAGATACTAAAAGCCAGGTCTGCAAAGGGGCACTGCAATAGCTAAGTTTAATACAACCAGCTATTCTGTAGACTATACAGTCCCAAATTAGATAGCCAGGACCCCCACAGCTTGACATGGGAGAATTTTTATATCCAGAAATGGGATAAGCAGGTGAAAAAATGCAGCTGTTAGGTGCAATTGCTGGAAGCAATGCTAACTCCTAAGACAAGGCCAGTTCTCAAAAGATATTTAAGCAACGAATTCCAGTTTGAGCTAGGAGCGCTCTTCTGGTGTCAGGTATGCAAACGCAGTAAAGAAGTTTCTACAAAAAGACAGAAAAAGAGACTCCAGAGCAAAGCATTCACCCAGGAAGAGGTGGCTGTGAACCCGTTGTCTGAAAACTAGTTATTTTGTGTAGAAAAAAGATCCCAAGAGAAACTCTTGAGAAAGCTTCACCCTGGAATTTCCTACAGGCTTGTAGGGACTTTGGTTCTCAACCAAACTGGTTGGGGAAAAATTCAGGATGATGTACTTCAGATCCCAAGCAAGGGACCTAACCAGCTGGAGGGTTTACAGAAAACACCAACACCAGTCTTGTCTGGGCTGGGCCTCACAAGCAAGGCTAGAAACAGATTCCCAGTCTGGGACAGGGCTTGGACATGAATGAAAGTACTCACCAAGTAGAGTTCCATGGAGTAAATGGTTAGACCATGGTTCATGGTTAAGCTTTGAGATCTGAATGAATAACCCATGTTCACAACAGACATAAGACAAAGATGGTATTGAACATGTCTCCCAAGTGCTTTGCAGCTGTTCTCAGTCTGCTGCCTTAAGCAGTACAGCTAAAGAGATTCTCCTGGTGCACTGCTTACCCCTCTTGAAGTTCACAAGGACTCCACAGATGCACCAAGCAGGCAAGCCTTCTCTCCTGCACTCACCCAAACAGAAATGAGATGGTGGACTGCTGCTCCCCCTCATTTCACCACTAAGCAGAATTTGACTCTGCACTTAAAGTACAGTCCCATTGCTCACCCATCCCTTTACTGAGCTCCTCACAAGTGTTCAGAGCAATCCCTCTGCTGCTGCTCTGAACAGAATGTTCTGCAGGTCACTCCATCTCACTCCAATATCACAACATTAACGTGTTTGCATGCCTGCTTCAGAGAAGCCAAAAACATCAGGCAGAAATTGCCCTCCTGTAAAAGGGACTGGAGCCAGTATTTAGCTTGGCTTTTACCTATTACCCACATCTGGCAAATAGATTTTGCTCCATTTGGCTTCCAGACTGTGGTATATGTGGATATCAGAAACAGGTATCTGCTAGGCATGAAACTAAATATAGATTCATGCAGAACCATGTCTGTAATTGCCAGGGTGCATTTCCAGTAACTGGGTTTATTCTGTCTGCAGAGTGAGCAGCCACGATGAACAGCAAAGTTTACCTGCACAAAAGTTTCATTAAATAAAGCGTATTAAGATTTTCTTCTTCCTTTTAAACAGTATGTTTAAACGTTCCTTAATGTTTTAGTATGGCACTTTGCAGTCAGTCCACTGCAGTCTAAGAAAGTGAGTGCGTACGGTGAGTTTTCACCAACTACAACAGTATGATTAGACTTCACTGTAAGACACTGCAACAAGCTGAAGAATAGTAGGAAACAGGGTTGGGAAAAAAATCTGAGAGGTCAATTAGTTCATCTTCCTGCCCAATGCAGAACCAACTGGCACCAACAATTCTCTACAAATGCTTGTTAAATATGCCTTTATCTCCTCTCCCCCAATAATGGAGGTTCTACTAATTCCCCAGGCTTTAACTCTCCTTTAACCTTCCATCACCCAAAATGACGCTGATGGACCAGCTCAGGGAGACAAGCAAGGGGAGGTCAGAAGGGAACTGGTCGCACACCAAGGCCCACTGTTATGCCTAAAGTCACATCACAAGTTGGTCCTGGAGATGGGACAAATGACAAGGTAACAGTCACACCTGAAGCAGCTGTTTAGCAGTGCATACAGATCAAATTCAGTTTGAAAGACTGGCTTCTGACTGCCTAATGAACACCATACCATGCTGTCTACAGCCAGGCCAGATTTTGCTGTCCTGCTCATTGGAAAGATGAGCCCAGTCTGGTACTGACATGCAGACATGCCCCATGCGGTACATCCCCAGCCAGGCCCCACTCTTATCTCTACCAGCTCAAGCCCGCTGATTCCATGGTCCCACCAGGATGTGATTCATGCATGCCCCTGCTCCACCCAGCTGGCATGCTCATCTCACTGATCTTGGCTTCAGGACTCCTGCTTCACTGGGACAGGGACTGACATTTAGTGAGCTTTTGTAGGGGCCCTGTTGACCTCAATGCATTTTTGGTCTACAAGGTGCTACTTCAAGAAAAACATTTGATGGCAGCAGAGCATTACTGCACAGTTCCCTTTGAGCAGGAAGAGTGAGTGAAACATTTACTTGTAATGAGTCTGTGGTCAGGCTACCTCTGAGACTTGCAGTCATGAGACTCAAAAATCTGCCCCAGAAGACACTAAGAGCCAAATGCCAAGGTGTCACCATGTGGACATGCAGGCTATCTCCCCAAAGGTCACTTTTGCCTGTTCATCATGTTTCCACAGCAACAACCCTGAATTGCTACTGCTCGGACCTCTTCCCAAAGGTGTGCGTTCTCACAGAGGGGATTTTTATGCAGAGAAAACAAAACCACAGAAAGTCATTCCTCAACCCTAAGAAGTTAGGAGTACCCAAAGGGCTAATCATGTTCCTGCTATGTGCTGTGCACGTGCCCAGGAAGACAGCCTCTAACATGCAATAAAATGCATTATTTAAGCTTTATTTAAGCTTCTGTTTGCTGTGGTTGGAAAAAACTCCTCTTGCCGTGGAAAGAAACCTGGAATGAAATGAGTCATTCCTAGAGAATTCAATGGCAGGTTTTTCCCAGGAGGGCTTACAGAGAATGCCCAAGATTAGAAACCTGGCTACATTCAAAGCCAAAACCCAGTGGACACCTTGGTATCATGAGGTACCTATTATAGAAGAATAGCAACTTTTTTTGTGGATCAAATCCCTATTGAAACGGAAGGAAAAAAAACTGAAAAAGAGAGAGGGAAAGTTCTCTTTGCAACCTCCCTCCCCATTCATTCTTTAATAAAAGGCTGTTAGTAGTAATATGCAACTAATACTTGAACAAGCAAGCTGTCAGCACAGATCCAAAAGAATTTGTGTTTAAAAGCCTGCCTTTTTGTCATCTGGCTCACTCTCCTCCTTCCCAAAGCCAAACCCACCTTGAGAGTTCAGTGACCCCAGATGCCTGCCCAGCTTATGGCAAGATGCCTCATAAGAAAACACTGAGCACACTAAAACAGATGACAAGGATTGCCCCCTTCTAAGTAAAGGCCCTTATCAGTACCTTCCCTTCAGACACAGTGCTGGGCTCAAAGACAAAGCTAGAAAAATACAGTGGCCATTCTAAAGAAGGATGGAGAAGAAATGTCTTCAAGCCTTAAAATGCAACAACTGCAGAGGAAGGGTTTCTTGGCTGCCTGTCTACAAAGGACCTGCTAGAGCAACCTTCAGTGATGCACGTTTCACTGCAGACCTAGCCACAAGAACATCCATATCATTCTGGGGTTTTGGGTTAAAACAGTCAGTGTAAAGTGAATTGTGTTAGCAGCACTGTCCATCATGCTCTGACTTCACCATGCTCCTGCAACTTGCCCCTAAGATGGGTTGGATGTGAAGCCTTCCCAAACACACAGTAGCCTACAGTCACTTTGTGTGGCTCTCAGGAAAGCCATTGGTCTCAGCCATTCTCCTCTCTGCCCTGAGCATGTTCTCACCAGCCAGACATGTTCTGAAAGTGGTCCTATTACCCTAAAGGTGCTGATGGGAAAACATCTATTGCTGCTGACTGCACAGCTCAACCGACAATGTATCCATCATCACAGTTACTTAATTCCTCCCCTGTTGGAGTTACACAGATTTTTTTTTTTTTTTGTTCTAGAGGAAAAAAATGTTCCTGTGTCACCATTTAACAGGCCTTAACTGAAGTATTTTTGAGAAGAAGGAGCCTGGCTTGGGGTCTGAGAATTCAACGGAGTTGTGTCCAGACAACAGCACTCGCAGGCTCACTAGCTGGGAACCACAAAATAAGATTATTTTTCTTCACATTCATATGAACACTAAAATAGGGCCTTAAAAAAAAACCCACTGCTCAATTAGGAAATGGGCACCAGGCACCCTAAACCTCCTTCTTTAGCAATTAGGAGAAGAGTACCTCGTTGTTCACACAGACTAAGTCCATCGTCTGTCCAAAAGCATCTGTGACCTTCTGCACCACTTCTTTGAATCTGACTGGTCTTGGAAACTGGATAATCCTGTATACACAAACAAATACAACAATAGTCTCAATTTAGTAAAGGTGTACTAGAATTTGGGGTTAGACTAACAATACAGAAGAAAGAATCTGTATTCTTCTACTATGAAGCATAAAGCTTGCTCTTCGCTTTCACACACAGAAATACTGCTCATCTGCTACGCTCAGAAGGGAATTTGACGTACCCTGTGAGAATATCTACCAAAAATCCTAGTGCAGCTCCTCTGCTCCTTCCCCTGCTGTGGGATACAGGCAGAAGAGAAGGAAGTATAGCAGCCCTTCACTAGAGAAGACCCAGGATCAGGCACTGGTCAGTGATTTATCATCTCTTTTCAGCAAGTAGCTCTGAATAAGGGGGGAGGGATGGAAGAGATGCAGTCTGGCACCCTGTGATTCTCCCATACCATCACATGCAGCAGCTCTGTAGATACATATCAGCAGGTACAGTCTAGCCCTACAGTAACATTACTTCAATTTTCTTTGGCTTTAACATGCAAGTTGGACCGTCAGCCTGTGAGTTGCCAGCCCTGTGTCCTGCCCTGCAACAATCACCAAGCAGCAACCACAGGTGATTCCATGAAAATGTCAAGCAGAGAAGGGCGGGAAAGCTTTAACTCCCAGCTCTATTTTCATGGGACCCATGCCTAAAATCTGGTTATCTTAAGTGTCATAGGCTGCTAATCCAAGGACACATTTCTGTAGGGCTGCAGCTCAGCTGTGGTTCAGCAGAGCTCAAGAATTAAAAAGAGGATCCAAGTGTGCACCCTAAGTCCCTGGTAAAAGGCATTTAATGACTTCCAGCTTTGAACCACTTTGCCTGCATGCAAATCCCAGGAGGTACTTGTGGCAAATGGGATGATGAGGCAAAGCCATCACATATAAAACTGTTGATTTTAGGGGAATGAATCCTGCTGTGAGGTCATCTGCAGATGGCTGAAGTCAGTAGGATGACATTGAGTAAAGTAAGTAGTTTGCCCCCATACAAGTGGGGGACTGGCTTGGGTACATACCTTTTCTCTCCTTCATATTCAAACTTGATCCTGACATTCCGCTGCTGAAAGAAACGAAGAAAATGGTTAGGTCCCAGACTGCATCCCAGATTGCCTTGCAGATCCAAAGCTGACAGTAGTTCTTGGGGAGACACCCCTAAGGCTACTGGGCATCTGGTCTATTTAGGGTCAAAGTGGCTGCTAGACTCACCAACTCTGGGGAAATGTCACACTGATGATAAACATGTTTGTCAGAGAATAATGTCTTCTGTAAACAACAGCCCACTCACTCATCTGTGTAACTGTTAGTTTTTAATGAAATGCATTAATAGAAGTGGAAAATTGGGAATGCTCTGAACTCAGTTGGGAACAAGCACTATTATCAAAGAGGCAAACATGTTAAATGTCTGATATTTGTCCATCTTCAGCACTTCCCATGGTTTTACCCCAGTACTTTTCTGTTGGAAACCCAACAAGCAAAGCAAAGCTCAGAAAACGCTTAATAGAACACAGGAATATTTGGAGCAAAGAAATTAGAAGTAGAGCAAGCATCCTATAATGGAAGCAGAGAAACAGTCTTGGATTTTAAAAGAAATAGTGCTGGGGTGGTGGTGGCTGTCATTTTGTTAGAACCTACAAAATGCAAAGTGTATCAGGCACCACTTCACTATACACAGTAAATGCTGTCCCTGAACTGACCTGTTGCTCACCCCAAGAGAAATCATTAAGTTTAGCCAAAGAGCCAGCAGGGTCACAGGCAGACAGAACAAACAACTGTGGGTTTACTAGGGACTAGTAAAAGCCACTTCAACCCATCCTCTATTTGTGCATGTTTAGCAGTGATCAAGACCACAGGGAGCCTTTTCATTCACTCAGCTTCTCAGACTAAGCCAAGCATCCCTCTAGCACCCCTTGGCTCATTGCAGGACTTTCCAATCATCTCCAAGGAAAATCAAAAGCCTCTTTACTTCCCAGACCAGGTTTAGCCACCCAGTTAACCAGGGCTCTGCCCCTACTAGTACACACAAGCTTCTTCAAATAGTAGCTCTATCCCCATGGAGAAGAAAGTGCTCACCACCTCCCTCTGAGGTGTAACACCAGGGAGGGCTCAGTCCCATGCAGCCTGCATTTCACAGGGATAATCCCTGATTGGGTGGGTGACAGCCCTTCCTGAGCAAGGGCCTTATCTCTAACCCTGGATTGTCAGCGCATGAAGGCACACTTTCCATCCTCTGAGAGGGAAAGCAGACCCACAGTAAAATGACTTTGTTTCTAATGAAGAAATTGAGCTGGACACGCACCCTTAGGTCTATTTTTAAACTGACAGCTCCTCGCGTTCTGCAAACACCCACCAAAGTTCAGGAAGTCAAGGCTGGAGGCGATTCGGTTGAAAAGCTTAAAAATACCCAGGCGGATTCAGGGTAAACATGTTGGATCATCCGAAACACATCCTTTTTAGCTCTGCTCGTGGTATTTTTTGTGTTTCCAGAAAGGCTGGGAAGAACCAGTGCTGGGACAAGTCACCAAATGGGGCAGTCCAGCAATGCTACATGCCTGCGCTAAACAGGCACTTACATCACCTCAGTGTCTAACAGCCAGTTCTCCAGAACCAACAACATTTGAACAAACTCCAGGTTCACTTCTAGAACCAGGACCAGTGCATAAAGATACCAAACTAACTCTAAACAAGCCTAAAACTCAAAAGAAGAGATGACCATACCCAACCCGATGTTGAACGTCCAACTCACTCTAGAGAGACACACAAACACAGGTGGGATTGTCACCTTGGATTACCTCTGTTGGAAAAGGAAAAGAAAGATATGGCTCTTTAATGTCAATTTTTGTTTGCATGTGCCACTCTGAATAGGGCCTGGCTGGTTCATCCCTCCTGGATGCCGGCAGCCAGTCAGCTGGTGTGGGTTCACTGCATGTAGCTTCAAAAAGCCCTTCTCTAAGACAAGAGAAAAAAATCAGAGCAAGTAACTTTCGAGGTTTCTCCTTACAAAGGAGCAGGAAAAGCTCACACAGCTCCAGCCTCCCTGCAGGAAACCTTTCAAAACACAGGTTTCACTTTCAGTGCAGACCCGAATGCTCCACCAAGCTGGGACATAGCACACACTGCCTGTTTATGCTGAGCAACACAAATTTCACAGACAAGTAAGTTTTGAAAAACAGCTTGTGGCTGGAAAATGTCAAAACACTCGTAACAAAGCTCCAGAGAGAGAAGAAAAGGAAAAAAAACAATAAGCCATGACCCTGCTGCATCCTTTTCTTCTACATCAACAACAGGGCCGATGTGCTGCAGCTTGAAGCCAACAGAAGTAAGCCAGCTGCCCCACACTGCTCAGCTCCACTTCTGAGCGGAGGAACAAACACACTGGCTGCAACAGGGGAATGAAAACCCACTTCACTTGTTAATGACATTTTATTCTCCCAGTATAACACACTAACCTCCCACCTCTCTCAAAACCAAGACCAATGCTCACAAACATTTGGATGAGGGATACATATTTATCTATAGTCTGAAGAGTTGATTGCAGTTTTATTTTCCAGTCTTCCCTTGGCTTGCTCATGTTTTTGACCCACAGCTAAAGCTGAATTCATCACTGCTATCAGCAACAAATACTTCTTTCTTTAAAAAGAAGGGAAAAAGAAAAAAAAGTGGGCAGTGCCCAAAGCATTAGGAAGTCCCAAAGGGAGGCAAAGCACTTCCTAAATGCCGGAGCAGGCTGTGATTTTTTACACCCATGGAAATCTGGTTTGGAGCAACTGGCTTGAGATTACACAGGGAGTCTGGGGCACCGCCAAGGGCTGGAGCAAAGTCTCACATGAGTCTGCACCCAGCATCTCAAACACATGATCGATGGGAAGGCAGGATCAGCACCTCCATAAGGACCTCAAATCAACATGCAAATGCTTGAAGCAGGTCATGGAAGGGGTGAGGGTGGCAGAAGCTGCTGGGTCCTACTCAGTTTTGTAATTTTATGAAGAATGAAGACAACACTGACTCCTTCTTGCCCAATCGCAGTGGTGCTATTTACCCTCCCTGCCACCACATGTCAAATGAGGTTAACATGAGCCATGTTCTCCCCTCAGTCAAAAGATTATTAGTTGATGTAGGAGAACAAGCTGAGACATCCAAGAAAGGCATGTGTTAAATACAGAGGAGGAGAGGGATAAGGCCATGCCACATGGCACCAGCCTTAAACACTGAGCTCTGGCAGAGGACTTCTGCAGTGGTTTCATGGAGCACAGTGATTACTGAGACAGGTGACAGAGCAAGCAGGGGAAACTGAGGAACAAAGGAACAAGGTGCCGTGCCTAAGGTTGTGAAGAAAAAGCCCAGCCTGGGGAAGAGAAGACTCCAGGGGGACCTTAGAGTGGTCTTTCAATATATAAAAAGGGCTTTATAATATGGAGATAAACTTTTTATAAGGACATGTAGTGACACGATAAGGGGCAATAGTTTTGAACTGCAAGAGGGGAGATTTAGCTTGGATATAAGGAAGAAGTTCTTCCCTGTGAGGGAGGGGAGGCGAGGCCCTGGCACAGGTTGCCCCAGAGAAGCTGTGGCTGCCCCATCCCTGGCAGTGTTCGAGGCCAGGCTGGACAGGGTTTGGAGCAACCTGGTCTAGTGTGAGGTGTCCCTGCCTGTGGCAGCGGGTTGGAACTTAATGAGCTCTAAGGTCCTTCCAACCCAAACCTTCTGTGACTCATTCTATGAAGCAGAAGAGGGGCAGAACCAAGCACAGAAGTTAAATGTTTATCTCCAAGTCTGTATGACCACAGCTTTCTGTCCACATGCGTTTCCATATGACATGGGGCACAGAGGAACCCACATCTCAACTGGCGCCTGTAGGCCCTGCTGCGACACAAACAAAACAAGCGACAACCCTGACAGGAAATACCACAGTAATTCCCTTCGTTTCTGGAATAATTTCTTCTCCAAGATACTTGTACCGGCATTTCCTCCAGCCCTGCTAACAAATGGTATTTTACTCTTTCTTGCCATCTGCCTCAGAAAGGAAAAAGCAAGGCCACCACAGCTGCCACAAACCCATCACCATCTTTCCAGGCTTTCCTTGAGGTATTTTTAGCTCCTTCCTCAAAACTTCTAATTTCACAAAAAGACCACAATTGCCGAGCTTCAGAGGAGCCTCTGAGGGGAATCAAAGGGGGGGAAAGGGGCAAATGCTCCTGCCCACTTGGCTGGGGACCATGCACCCCAGCAGGCTCGGCCAAGCTCAGCTCCTGGAGCTAGAGCAAGCAGCTGTGTGCACTGGTTTAGATTAAGGAAAACGTTGGAAAAAAATGGAAAAAGTGTTTCCAAATGAGGTGAATCATGATCTTATACAGAGATCCCTGAAGAACTGACTGCTGTTCGTAATAAAAGCACACACGGAGACCAGGAAAACATGCAGTTAGACCTAAAATGGAAGCGTCTTCGGAGGAACAGAAGGTGCTGAGCACACTGGCTGCTGAACATCCAGAGTGCTGACCAGACTGGGGTACAGATAAGCTGAGCAATGCCATGACCATGTAGAAGGGTGTCTGATGGCACAGGGACACTCTTGGTGCATCATCTTGATGTCACTGACTGCAGGCAGGCACCCAGCAGAAGAGGCAGCCCCTCCACCTCTGCCGGTGCACTAGTGTGGCACAGAGAGCTAAAGTACCCAAACCATCATGCTGCAGAATCCCAGACGGGCACCAAGTTCAGACTCCGCCCATCATGTCCTCGCCTCCTCTCCCCAGACTCAACTGCCATGAGAAACAGTATTCCGGTTGGACCCCACTTCTGTGGCTTGCTTTTTAAAGCTGCTCTTGTCAAACCTAACCAGAGGATAGCTTTGCCCATGGCTGAGACACCAGAGGGACAAGGGCTTTGGATCACTTCTTCCACCCAAACCCATGGCTGCCTCACAAACCACCTGGGACAAAGTCTCTGACTCCAGCATTAACCCTTCAGAGGTCGAGAAAGACAGGAAAAAAAAAATCATCACAAGGGAACTCCTCATTTCTTCAGCACTGCACCAAGGGGCTCATTCATTCCAGCTTTGCTCTTAACCCGCTCACAAGACCTTGGCATCTATTTTGCCTCAGTTTCCTCCCTAGGTAAAACAGGGACAATGACAGAGACCCACTTCCACATGCTGGAGGGTAAGCAGAAGGATTATTTTCACTTCTCTCATTTTCGACTCATTGGGTTAGGGAAACAATGAGAAAACCCCACCAAGCGGTGCAGCATTTAAGCATTAGTACTCTAGTTACCCCTTTGTACCAAAGCCACAGATCAGGGGGATTTCTCTTCAGCTTCTGGCTTCAGCCAAGAGAAATCAGTACTGCAGGACCAGGCTTAAGGGGACTTCTGTACCTCCCTGAAGAGCACATTGTTTGCATTAGTCCTGTGCTCGCCCCTGCTTTTAGCAACAGGACGTTCGTTACAAGCCAGACAGCTGGACCACGTCCCTAAACCGCAATAGGAGATGACTAATCTGCGTCATTAGGAATTATCTGCACGGAAGCCCCATGCACTTTGGGTTATTCAGCAATCAGACAGAAAGGGGGTTGTCTGGGATTGCCCCCTTCTCTTGGGGGTTGGCAACTAGGAGATATCCTGGTCCCCCTAGATCCTTACAGCTCCTTTCCTCTGAAAAATCAAGTCCAGGTCATGAGCCGCTCAGAGGCCCATGGAAAGATGATGTCTAGAAGGTCTGCTGCTCCACGTTACTTTTAGTTTATACCACAGCAGAAATCAAGAAATCACAGGCTTCAAAATATTTATCCCAAACCACTTACCTGGCAGGTAATAGCTTTTTTCCAGCTGGATTTCTCCTTACTATTACTCTCTTAACACCCACGTCAGCTCCACACATAGATAAGGAAAAGCCTCTTCCTGAACTCCTCGGGACTCTACAGTCTTTGCCATCTCCAGTCAAGGCTTTCCCAGTCAGTGCTGCTCCCCTCTTGGTCCCTTGCTTCTGCCCCCCATGTGGGGAAAGCCCTGCAGATCTCCTTACAGAAACTCCCATCCTTAAGGTGATATTTATGGACCCCCACCACGTTCCCAAATGGTAAAACAGAGGTGATAAAGCCAAACTTTTAGGCTGCTTGAAGACCTACAGTAGAGCCCTAGAACATGAGCTGTATTCTATTCTAGTCATGAGCAAGCCTTATCCTGCCAAAGAAACAAGTCCAGAGGTAATTTGCTAAAAGAACATCTTTTAGGTCAGTCTGACACTTGTGCATGGGAAAATGTTCCTCACAAATACTGCACTTTATTGCTGTGGGAGAGCTGTAATCAAAGTTAACATGACAGAGGAATTGGTAGCTGTCATCAGCTGTGATAGAGGCCCACACCAGTGCCTTGTCATTAGACTGAAGCGCAGCACTGACAACCAGCTTCATACTGTGAATTGCCAAGTGCTAGTTATATAAATAAATGGACGTGCACATGGACAGATGCAAAATAAATGTTAATATAATTGCTCCTTTCTCCTCCATCCTTTTGTTTGGGATTTCTAATTCTTTGTGGTTTCCCTTCTTATCCCACTCATCTTTTTCTTTAGTAATCACAATGCAGATCTTTATTTTGGTGTTTCCTCCTTCCCCTCTTCAGAGCCACTGAACAAACTCTTGTCTGTTCAGTCCAGGAGACTGCCTGCAAGGACTCCTTCCAGCCAGAGGATGCATAAGGAATAATGGAGTGATAAAGGGAATAATGGAGGAATAACAGAGCAGAGAATGCACTAGCAATAGTGTCAGAATAATCCCTCTGTGCATCTCTCCATGGACAATGAACAGCTCCTTTTTAGATTGTGACTAACGCAGAAGGAAAAGGGTGTCCATCTGTATCCCTCTATGCTGTTTTCTCACTAGGCAGAAGGGCAGCATGACACAGAAGCTGACACACCTGACCAGGACTCAGGAGATACAAGTTTAGCCACCACATGTGCTGCCAGCTGCCTGGGCAATCTAACATCTGCACACTGCATCAAGTATTGCTGTACTCATTTACAGCTTGTTCTACCATGAGGCATTAGCCATTCAGAAACTCAGCCTTGGGCCTAAATTAATTTGTAAGGAAAGCAAACTAAAAACAAAAAAGATTTGTTTTTCATGCAATCTGCCAAAGGATGTTCATTTCATAAGACAATCTGAAGCAAAACTGACAGCATTTTGGGGATATATTTTGTAGCATACACCACCACAGACCTTTCTTGTGTGGCCCAAGCCTACCAGGAATATTATCTGGCAGGCACCAAATTTCAACTTCTTTCAAGAGCATTAAGGAACCCCTCCAGGAGACAGGGATGAGATAGCAGTTGAGTTGTGTTTCTCTGTGGACCAAGAAACTTCTGCGAGCCACAAAGGGACAAGCTAGTTAGTCAACACATTCTTGTTTAAAGTGTTTTTCAGGGGAATTTGGAACACTGACTAAAGGATTCCCATGCCTCAGAGAAGCATTCTTCCACAGGAAAAAAAATATGTTTTTTAATTCAACAGCTGAATGTCCAGACCCAAGTATTTCAACGTCAGCATGCTGTTGAAGGGCCTCGTAAGAGACACCTACAATGAGATTCCCAAGAGGAAAATTTAGCATCTGAATGCTCCATGCCTCACCCACCCTCCAAGAAGGGAGCCTGCGCAGTGCATCCTTCAGCCCAACCAGCCAAACTGATCACAGGAAAAAAAAATAAAACAAAAAAAAGGGAACACCAAGTATCAAAGGAGTAACAAATCATAGGCATGACAGCAGCAGTCTCCCCCCACCCCCATCAATGTCTGTGCTAAAAAACAAGAAAAAAAAAACAACAAAAAAACCAAAACCTAAAAGTGACCCAAACAAGTTGATTAAAAGCTTTTGAGCTGCAAGCATGAACCAAGTCCCCACTAATTCCGCGTACTTTGGCCACTCCCCACCTCGCAGACTAGACGTCCCACGAGCCAGACTTATTCTAGCTAGTCCAATTTAGTGAAGCAACAACGCAACGTACTCTAACGCCCTTCATCTGTCTCATGGGGCCTGCTGCTCTGAATCCTCAACCCCAGATGCGCCACGAGAGCAGGATGCTGACTATTTGCATCTTCTCCATCACAGAGCTCCAAGTAACAATGAGCACGCAGCTACATCTATTCCACTTAGGGATAAAAAGAAAAAATCATCAAGGAGGAGACACTTTTCCAAGCATCAGTGTTATAACTGGGAAGGAAAGTGTGATTCCTAATACAGTAAGATTAGATGCTAATGGCAGCCAACAATTCTAAAGCTGATATCAGAGCACAACATAACTCTATCGGTGATTTATATCTTCCACTTTTATTTTCCATTTCCATCTTCTTATATCTCCCACTCTGAAGATACAGAGTGGATGGGCTGTGAATACTGATTGGATTGTAGGGTGTCAAGTTTATGAAGCTTTCATAGATCAGAACTCAGCCAATGAAAACAACTATATACCTTATTTTTTACTATTTATCTGGTTAATTGTGCATCTACAGCATTTACAGCAACAGTTTCCAAGAACTACAGCAGGGATTTTCCCCCATTGTGAGAAAACTAACATGTTATTTAAGAAAAGTCTAAAAAGTTTTGCTATTGTGAAAGCAACCCAAGATGGCTTGGTATGATCCCCACCCAGCAGCTTGCAGAAGTGCTACCCTCAGAGCCATCCAAAGCTGTGCTGGACTGACTGCTTTGCCTGCAGCGAGCCAGCTCAGACTTTCTCTGGTCAGTTCTGTAAACATCTTGGACTTACTTCAGCATGAGCTGAACACAGATCCAGTGATTCAACTTGGACAGCTGCTACAAGGACACACTTTAAAACAGACATGCTACATGCGCACGTGTTTTCGTCTGCATGTGTCTAGGAAGCCTAGAGGGATTTGAGAAAGGATTTTTACCCGCTGTATCCAGAGTTCTTTTTTTGCAGCACTAGTGACATTAAATATGCATGACAATGCATATACATATGCATATATATGTGAATGACAATCTTCTTCCCTGCTAGGCATTCAGCAACTGCAAAGTTGACTGCAGGCTTATTCTAAGCCGTAGCACTAGAAATGGAATTCCAAATGGCTTTGCTTGCATGCTTCTCCAGAGGCTTCCTAATCCTTGTACTTATTTTTCCCCTTCTTTTCTTCTTGCTATTTTGACAACTTAATTCTCTCTTCACAACTTTTATGTTCACATATTTGTTCAATACACAAACAGGCTATTAAATCCACTTTAGCTATTATGTCAATGTCAGGGAATAAATTTCTGACATTGCTCAAGGGACAACGTTTCTGCTCACCAAATGAGCTCTGAACATGCAACAGGTCCAAAATATTTGCTTTTAGGAGCATAAACACCAGTAATTAATATTTAAACACTTTATATAATAATGACATTATTCCTCCCAAAAGAGCCTTGTTGTCTTCAGCAAAAAAGTTGGCAGCCTGTCTTTCAAATATCTAAAGTAAAATGTGAACATAATAAATACTGCATTTCATCAACACTGTCAGTAGAAGACATTTGAGTAATCCAAATTTTAGAGCTGCATAGCTTGTAACATGTTCTACTACTTTCAGTACTAAGGAACAAAAAAGTGCCTTGGGGTGGAATCTGAGATTTACCAGTTTCAAGCTCTACTGCTGTATTTGTGGATGATTTGTCATATCATTCCTATTCTCTGTGCCTCCATTGCTCCTCTGTGATATGGGGATGCCTGTAGCTTCCTTTCAACTCTTCAAAAAGAGGTCCTAAAGCTTGCACCTTGGTAAAATTATGCAATTTGTGATGTGCAGAGCTCCTGCAGCACTTGCCAACTTCAGTTCTAATATTCAAACTCTGTTCTCCCAGCATGATAAGCACTATGCCCATCTCTTTGGTCTACTGGAGTCTGGGATGGACTCAAGCCATGCCTTACCTGTTTGCTGCTGTGAACACTGTTTTTATTCCTGTTGTTGTCCAGCAGCCCCCCACATTTGCCCAATGCTGCCAGATCCTTCATAATAGAGTTCAGAGCTGCTTCTTCATCTGCAAAAGAAGGAGAAACAACTGAAGTGTGGAAGGCAACCTCACCACTGGAAGAGTAAAAAATATAACACTGAACCTACAATTCTTTCAAACCAAATGGGTCAAAAGACACAGTAACTAGACTTCATATTAAGAAAGGCATTCAATGACTATACCACAGTCCCTCCTCAGCCCATTGTGTCTTGGAAACACAGGTTTCTTACAGGTAAGACAGATCCTCAGAAAAGCCAGTGGCTGAGCATGGGTGACCACTCCTCCTCAAGCTCAAAGTCCATGTCTGCTGCCCATGGGGCCCTTTAAAGAGGTACCCATAGGTCAGAGGCAGTGCCCAGCAGTCTGGATCCAGTTTGTGAGGTATAAGATAGTGCTTTATAGGACAAAAACCTTTCAGGACCCAGAAAGTTCACACAGCAGATGATGGGAGTACACCACATTTCTTCACCTCACCCTTTCCTCCTTCTTCATTAAAGATGCTCAAGAGCCACAACTGATTTTCAAAACTAGAACCAGTGAGAAACCAAAGCAAGGACAAGCTCATTAAAAGAGGTAAGAAACTCAACTAAGCTGGATAGAAGAGACATGCACTGAGAGCCCATATATCTGGTTTCTGCAGTAACTAGAGAATTTTTGAAGGACCCTTTTGATTCAAAACCAATCTCCTCCTTCTCAACACTTTAACACTTTCACATCTATGGTTGTGTTCTCTTAAAGCAGCTATAAACTATTACATTGCAAAATACCAATCACAAGCATTAAAAACCCCATCAAGACCTAGCACACAGCACACTCATTAGAAGGGTGTGAGAACCTGTTGCATACTCCATGTTCATGACACAATCAAGACAGGCAAGTATTAGGCACATGCAGCTATTACTGTAAAAATACAAATACAGCTACTGTCTTTTGTGTAAAACAGTGTCTCTGGGGATAGAGCCACTCCTATGCCAAGCCAGCATGCAGATTTAACTCAAAGTGTGAAAGATGTGACAGATGATAAAAACGATATGAAATCGGACAGGACTGAACCTGAAGCTGTTTCCCCAGGGAATTATGTGTTCTGAATCCTCATGCTCAGATAGATACAATATTATCTCTTTTCAGCTCCTCCTGCTGGGTTTTATAAGGACTGAAGCCAGAAAAACCAAATAGATGTGAGAAAAAGACTTCTCATGCATGGTGCGTACCCAGATCCATCTCATTAAAGAAATAAAAGGAAACATGGGGGAAAATGTTTAAAATCTGGCATCACTTTTATTTTAGAGCTCAGAAATTAGCTCCGATGCCTACAATAGGCATTAGGAAAATGCCTACACTTTCCTGTAGGCAATGTGTGTGCAAATATATTTAAAATACAATACAAATATATACCCACATATTGATATCAAATCTATAATAATATATTCAATATTAAAGTACAATTCCCCTTCCTTTCCACATTTCTCTACCCACTAAAACCCACAGGTACATTTTTCCCAGCGGGGTGGCAGAGAGCATAACCAGAAATGCTACAGGAAAACACTCAAGAAAAAGACAACTTTCAGTTCCACTCAGAGGGGAAAATGAAAATAAATACACTTGTTTAAAGTTCCCATAGTCTGAGGGTTGGGTGGGGTGGTTTGTTGTTGTTTTGTTTTGGGTTTGTTTGTTTGTTGTATAAAGGCATCTCTGGGGACAAGCAGTTTTCCAGGTTTGGTAGTAGGAAAAAAAGGCGACAAAAAAAGAAGAAAAAGAACTACCCTTTTTATTGGAGGGGGAAGAGAAGGGGGGAGGGACAAGTTAAAAAAAAAAAACCCAAACACAAAAACCCCACACACCACCCTCCAGGAATTTTCCACCAAAGCTGTAATCTCTCAAATGCCCCTCACCCCTTTCTTTTTTCCAACCCGAGTGACAACAAAAGTTTCCTGAACTCACTAACACAAAACACAGTCTGTAACATCACCAGGAAACAGGGCTTCAACAAGCAGTGGCAGAGCTGGGCTTTGCTAGCAAAACCAACTGATTCACCACCACTCTCACCTCCAAACTTTCCTGGACATGCCTGGCAGCATCTTTGAGGAGATCCACCTCGGGTTAACCCACCAGTGCCCTACGAAGAATAGTCCAGAACTTACAATCATAGAATGGTTTGGGTCTGGAAGGACCTTAAAGCTCATCCAGTTCCACCCCCATGCCATGGGCAGGGACACCTTCCACTAGACCAGGTTGCTCAAAGCCCCATCCAAGACTTCTGTCTTCTCCTTAAACAGCAAGAGGTTTCCAACATCCACAAAAGGTTTGGTTTATATTATATTACCCTGAAAGCACCGATTCTTCCTCTTCTACCTACCCATCAACTTTGTCAAAACTTCTTGCAACAGTCTTCAGAGTCCATCAAATCCAGGTTTAAAAATTCCTGGTGCTGCAGCCCCATCTGCATGATTGTGGAAGTCACATTTCCTTAGAAATGTCAGGCTACAGATCTCTGCCAAAAGCACCCTTTTGCAGCTCTCCCAACAGAACAAAGCAAGAAGCATGTACTCACTTTCAGTAACTGCTTAAATTTAGCCCATTTTCGGAAACAATGAAACTAATCAGCCTAGAATCGGTGTAAAACAGGGCTGTAACAGTCCTGATTCAGATACTGGAAGGAAATAAAATATTTCTTGTATTTAGGCTGTTCCTCCATGTACTAAAAAGCTGATGTCAAAGAGCACCCTGAAGAACTTCTTATTATAAAACGTAAGCGCCACTTGTCCAAAAAAAGAAAAAACAACCCCAAAATACACATCCATGCTATCACTGCTGCAAAATAAGTAAGAAAACTTCTTCCTACACAAGCAGGAAAGGTTTTCTGCTGCTGAAGTGTAACAGAACACAATTTAAACAGAAGCAGAAATACATTACTTCCTTGAAGTAATGTATTTCTATGTGCTTAAGTAGCTTTTAAACAACTTTTAACTGTGTGTTTTTAGTCCAAGAGAAGTGCAGTTTCAGAGGGACTATGACCAAAAGCCTCAACAGCTCAAAACAAAGCAAAAAAAATCCCCCACACCATACTCTGAAGCAACTTCCGAGCAGGAGCACAATTTGCATCATTGGTTGCAAAACTGACACTTCCCAGTCCTCTCCAGGACAGCTTTTCAAAGGGACTGATGCTTTCCACAGTAAGGCTCTTGCCCATCCTAATTACTGCTCTTGGGGTCTCCAAGCTGACTCCCAAGAAGGGTGGAGAACTTTGTTCCATGGAAATAGGCAGCCAGCTCAGCCAGTTCAGTCAAAATTCAAACAAGCACTGAAGCTTACTGGATAATTAAATCCAAATGCCACTCCCAAGCCTCTCCAGCAAAAGGGGCGTCACAGGCTGTTTGCTCTCTGGCTTGGTTTGAGCAAGCAGAAGGTGCAGAATGCATGGCTCTCCCACAGAGAAAATGTTGGGGAAGCATCAGGAATCCCATGCCCAAGAGACATACAAGACCAGGGTCTCCTGATCTAGCACCAGCCAGAACCAAGTATGCTTCAGCCTTGTGAGAAGGCAGCACTGAGACTACACAGCAAACATCTTCCCAAGCTTTGCCACGGCTCCAGAACTGAACAGCTGCAAGTTGCACACCACCAACGAAGTATCCACAGAACTCGGATGGACTTGACTCACGGAAACCACTGAGTTTGTGCAGCGTGAGCAGGTTCTTGCTCCTGAACAACCTTCTTTACTTGGTCACTCATATGGGCAGTAGTCACAAGAGATTGCAGCTTCACTCTTGCACCGTTTTGTACAAATTCACATAGGGTATTGTAGGTTGACAGGATGAATTGTACAACAAAGCCTGCTCTTTCCCCAGCACAACTCATAAACTGGAATATTTCTAACATGGAAGACCAGGACAAAGAGGAGCTGATAACACAGACAGCAGAAATGAAATGTAAAAGTCAATTGTATTTAGCACTGTCCCTTTGTCCCCAGAGCGTCTTTCTTCCATCCTCTGCTCTTTATTTCCAGCTATTTCCCTTAGTTGGGAACTTGCTTCTTTCTTCTGTACTTCCCACCAGCACCACTCCAGTTTCGTGCTTTTTAAATCGGCTTCCTGCAACAAGCTCATTCGATCATACTGCCAGCCCATCCATCCAATGACTAATTCCAACCAAATATAATAGAGGTTTCAAAGACAGTAATTTCACAAAGGTTTTGGGGGTGGAGGGGAACTATCCATACTCACAAAGAGGAGAGGAACACAGAAGTAAGCCAAGAGTACTCCAAGGAGCCAATGACCAGTGGAGCCACAGTGAACATGGGAGCGTTGGTTTCATACTTTTATTACAGTACACTGATCCATTTTGGCAGGATTTTGCATCAAAGCCAGAATACCTCCTTCTCTTAAATTTTCAGTTCTGTAAGGCATTAAGACTCACAAGTCCCAGGCACTACTGATGTGAACCCAGAGCATTCAACACTTAGCAGAATCCACTATGAAATGAAATCAGAAAGCCACAAGATGACACATCTCTCCGCCCTTTGGATAGACATTTCCGCTGCTGCTACATGGCTTCGGCTCCAGCATGTGTGCAGGAGAGAAGAACCTAGAGTTTTAGTCTTAGTACAGCACTGTAGCACGAGAAGGAAAAAAAGCAAGGGAGTAATAGCAAGCTTGAAGGTCAAAAAGGACCACCCAAAACAATTCAACAGTCAGAGGAGAAAGCAAACGAAGAAGGGACAAAGGAATAATTTAGCTGTGTTCAGATGGTCTAGACAGCGCTGTTGTTGTTGGCTTCACTAATAGGTCATTACTAAGAGGCAGCTTATGGTAGTTTCATGAAGCTGCTTCCATCAACATTGAAAATAAAAAAGCAGCAGCTGGATGAAGAGCACAGAAAAGCCTGCAGAAGTAAAACAGAGTCTCATAAAACATGGCAAGTTCTGATTTTGGCCCCTTACACACACCAAGCAGAGCTAGGGCTCGGAAAAGTTGGGGAAAAATCCTGGGCGTTGCAGAGGGGAAGAATATTATCCTCTGAGTCATAGG